CATTTTTAGGCTATGTTTACCACGAGCAAAATGGCGGGTTTTCACGTTATATAAACATGCTATAGGTGGTCAGGGCTAGATATGCCAGAAAAGCATTTTAAAATTTGCTTTGGAGAATGAAGGCTAAATTTTTGAAGTCGGTGTCATTAAAATTAAATAGAACTTTTTAAAGGTGACCTGTGACGTCCGTATATGAAGGGATCGTGTGGTCAGATCCATGCTCAGCCAAAATCGGTGTTTTTAAAAGATAACACGTCTTTTGAATGTGGGGGTCTGGTTATTTTGCGAAAAAGTCACTGACGTGATGTCATTTATGGATGACCCCCGAAACCCACAGTTATATAACTAGATAACGGGTAGTCTAGTATAGTTTAAATTCAACCCACAATGTCCGGTATTCTAGTTACAAAGTCTAAAGTCAACCTATCGTAAGTCAAGCAACAGTCTAAAGTAGAACAACGGAATAACGCTAACACACACGGTGTGAAGACAAGCCACACAATAGATTAAGGCCCCCACATTAAATCAACTCACATAAACAAATGTTATGTTCTCCCCTTGCAGTCTGTCCCACCACTCACCAGAAGGCACTGTGTCCCCGTGGACATAGATCCTGCACAAATAGAAGATATATATATATATATATATATATATATATATATATATATATATATATATATATATATATATATACATATATATATATATATATATATATATATATATATATATATATATATATATATATATATATATATATATACATATATATATATATATATATATATACATATATATACATATATATATATATATATATATATATATATATATATATATATATATATATATATATATATATATATATATAGTTCCCCTTTCTATTTTGGCCAGGTATAGATAGCTCACCTTTCTATTTTGGCCAGGTACAAAGCTGAAAGCATTGCCAGGTAATGCTGGAACAAGAACTTAACGGGAGAACCTGGCTTTGGGTTCAACGACACGACATGTCCGATGTTTGGGATCAGGTCGTTCGGATCCTGAAACATCAATTCAACGTTTTAAATTTTCTATTTTTTTCGAATTTTAAAACATTAAATTTAAATTTGATTTATAAAATATAACTCGGTCTGATTCTGAAAAATCCAACGGAACTTAAAAGTTTCCACTAATCTTCGTTCGGATCCTGAAACATTCAATTAAAATAGTTGAAATGATTCTTTTTTTCGAATCTAATCACAAATTTCGTACTGATAATAAGATTTATCTCAGATTCAAAAATATCTAATCTGAGAGTTCGTATTGATCATTTGGATTTTGAAACAATCGAGTAAATAGGTAGTTTTTATTGCAATAGTCATGTAAATCTAAACTGCAGAAAATTCAAGAAGAATGTATCATTTGATTCTACATTGTTTATGTGAGTAAATATTTAAAGAGATTAAACCCAGCAATTTGGCAGTAATGAAATTCAATGAGGACAAATATTATTTACTAAATCCGTATCATGGTGTATTTGATAAAAGGATTATCCAAACTTAGGAAGGTTCAGTAGATTGGTAAGCGGATGATTTGGTTGATCAAAGGTTCGTATTGATTTCACGTTATGGGGTCAAATAAAAATATGTGATGTGTTATCAGTTATGTAATATTGAAAATGAATAAATCGAGTATATTGTTTGTATGTTTTACTTGACTTTACACATAGCTTACAAAATGTCAAGAAAAATCTTGGAAGGTTTGAAGAAAAATTATTGGTCAGATTATGGGACGCGAGGCCTAGCGGTAGAGAGCTAGACTGCTCACCCGAAATCTCGAATTCAAATCCGGGTTCAAGTTAGTAGAATGTCCTTAAGTTAAGGAAAACAGAGGCGACACCATGTCTTTATATGCCGAGGTATCTGAAACAGGTAAGCTCTACTTCATCTGCCCCATGTATCTTGGGAGACACGAATGGGAAAATATGATACATTGCCCAGAATTTGTGTCAATAAACATTTCGCTAAAAACTTGGTTTGATTAAAATTTAGGTATAACTAATTGTACACAAAACCAACTGACCTCCCTTAACTGTCAAAAAGAAAGATTTAAATGTAAGGAAAACCAAATGACATCCCCTTTTCTAAAAGAAAGAAAAGATTTGAATGTAAAGAAAACCAACTGACCTCCCCTTTTGTAAAAGAAAGAAAGATTTGAATGTAAAAAAAAACCAACTGACCTCTCCTTGCTTGACAGCCACAGGCTCCGACTTGCCATAGAACAATCTTCTCGCCAGAGAGGCGAATGGCGAGGTTTCGTTAATGATGTCCTCGGGTACGATTCCATCTGGCACGGCCAGGCAGGGGGACAAGTTCTGAGACAACTGACCCCTGGTGTTAAACTCTGTCCCATTGTTGCCAGCGTTGAACTTATCCAAGGTCAGACATTCGAACGACCTGTTTAAAATGTTGATTTTGTACTGCTGTAAAGTTGACCCGTTCCCCACGTGACCTTGATATGCTAAAACAAACACCTGTTCGCTGCGGTTGGCACCGGATGTGACGTAAGTAAAGAATTTCTCCGAGTGCCATTCTTTAGGAATATGCGTGACCAGCGCCCGCTCCCCAAAATAGAACCCCCCGCCTGGGCTGGACGCCAGCTGATCCAGACCATAGTCCAAGGCGTCGGTCGTGTTACAGCGGATGAGCTTAGAAGCCTCTCGGAGCTCAAGACTAGCCAGGGACTGCTTTAGCTCCTGAAACCACGTGTGGTAGAAGCGTACAACCACCGGCAGTTTGTTGTAGTGAAACACCAACTTCAGCGGCCTGAGAACCCGCACCACGCTCAAAACACCCAGATAGTCTTCAAACTTGAACAGCTTCTCCCCGCACCAGACGTAATGGACGGTCGTTGGCAGCACCCCCGGGGGGTCACGTGACGTATCCAGACCGTTGCCTAGCAACGAGATCCTCATATCTTTCTTCTGGTTAACAACATCACTCAGTAAATCCCGATACAGCCGCTGTCTATCGGCTGTATGCTTCTCTTCACATTTCTTGACGACCAGATCGCTGTTTTGTACCGTCCAATTTTTCGCCTGCATGGTGTGAATAATGGCGCTGTTGTCAAAATGGCGCCTGTCAGAAGTCACATGATCCACTACCAACGAACGACATCTCAAGTGAGTATTAATATACACCACCAGCATCATGATAATTGAAAGTAAACTAAGAATTATAAATTTGTTGATGTATCTATTCCTAAATGACATGTTTACCGTTCTGCTATCTGAAATTATAAACGAACTTAAACAAGTTTTACTATTCCTTTTAAAGTGGAGTACACGTAACACTGGCGAAGGATTTTAAAAATTCAATAAGATTTAACACTAGGCGGTTCTGGTTGGTAGTGCTAATGTTGTCAACAACGGTAAACAATTAGCCGTGTTAGGACAACAGCTGTGAATATAGCGAGGCAAGTTTTGGATCGGAGCCTCCATCTTCTTCCCCAGGGAAAAAGAATAAAGGTCCGATCTAAACAATCCTGGAGAAAGACTGTAAAAGGAGAAGCTGCAAGAGGGGGAGGGGGCGGCTTGCATGGGTTCAAGTTATAAGATTCATGTCGTGTCGTGTTACACCGAATGAGCCTAGAAGCCAGTCAAAACCTCCCTGGACAAAACAAAACCCTGGACATAACCCCCCCCCCCTCGACATAAACCCCCTTGACAAAAACTCACCCGCGACATAAACCCCCTGGACAACCCCCCCCCCCCCCCCGCGACATAAACCCCCCGGATAACAACCCCCGGACTGAGGTTTATATAAAGAAATAATAACGATGATGAGAACCGAAAAATAAAAAAAATGCATTAAATTACTTTCATTTTTTACGACTAAGAAAATAGATTCTACCTAAAAAATGCTATTGGAAATCAAGGAGTGACCTTAGTTGTATTTGATCAAAGATCGGGCACCGACAACACCTTAGATATAGGTCATCCACATGTGGGAGCCGTGCGGATCAAAGTAACACATTTTTAACAATACAAAAGATGTGAGAGATTCACCGGCGGAAGCTTGGTTCATATCCACCTTGGCACATAGAAGTATGGTATAAATACGAATTCAAATTTATTTCTCAGCATCCTAACCGACTCACTGTCAGCATTGCAGGCCATAAAAGGGGGAGAATGCTGCAGAGACGACATCCTAGAAGAGATTCTACTCAAATGCATAGAGTTAAAACATAGGGGTCGCTCGGTACAAATGATCTGGATTCCCTCCCATGTCGGCATACAAGAAAACGAGAAAGCCGACCAAGCAGCAAAAAAGGGAGAGGAATCCAGAACATTTGTGGAGACAGGGATGGGCTCCACCGAAATTAAGACCACAATAAAGAAACAAATAAAGGAAGAATGGGTTAAAAAGTGGAATGACAGCTCCAAGGGTAGGCACGCCCACGCTATTCTGCCTCCACCTGACGGGAGAATGCAGTTAACAGTAGACCAAAGGCCACCCATCAATAACAAAAAATAACAAGGCTACGCCTTGGATCAGCTACCTTCCTGCACACCAAGAATTGGTGCCACACATGCACAGAAAAAAATACAATAGGCCACTACTTCATAAAATGCAAGGAATACGACAACCAAAGAAAAGAACTCATCAACTACTTCCAAACAAAACAAAACATAACATTAACAACAGAAACATTACTGGCTATGGACGCCCCATCCACTCTGCATAGCCTGGTAAAAAAATATGTCCACAAAACAAAAGAATCAATCTCACAAGCTGTAAAGATAAAATAATAATCACCCAACAACAAAATTCAAATCCCGCACAATAAAGAACCACATCCAAAAATGAAAGGAAACCAAATGAAACTAAACTGTACATACACAAAAACATTGAACGAACCACCAAAAATACAGTCTGCGATATAATCGTAAGATTGAAAGCGGACTTTAAACCCCAAACAAGAAGAAGAAGGATTTCTCCACAAATCGTATAATTTCTGGAATGGAGTTCGTTCATTCAAATAAAGGCAATTTAAAGGTGATTTTTAAAGGCTATGTTTATATCAAGCAAAACAATCTGGCGAACGGCGTTGTGTCATTTGAGTGTTCCAAAAGACGCAACAAGGCAGAATGCAGAGCAAAAATAAAAATTCATGGTGAACAGCTTGTTGGACGTTGTAATGAGCATTCGCATGGACCAGCTCCATCTCAACTGGAACTTTGTAAAGTAGTGCAGCAGATAAAACAAATGGCAGAAGAAACGGAAGCAACACCCCAGCAGATCATCACTCAGTCCATTACTACGATTAGCGGATATGCCAAGGCCGAACTGCCCTTGGTTCCACACATACGGCGTAACATCAGGCGTCAACGTCAAACGCTAAAACATCCACTGTCTGATCCAAGGAATGTTGATGATATAATCATTTCTGAACAATATACAATGACACAAGTTGGACAACAATTTCTTCTGTTCGATTCCGGTGCCAAATCAAAAGGTACGATGTTATTGTTTGGAACCAAGGACAACCTTAGGTTATTGGAGGTTAATCAGCACTGGTTTATGGATGGTACATTTAAAACAGCTCCTGCATTGGTCAATGGACGGACTGTTCCATGTGTTTATGCCTTACTTCAAAACAAAACACAGGAAACATACACAGCACTCTTAAACACAAGCCTTCAACCAATTTCTATTATGATTGACTTTGAAATGGCTGTGATAAAAAGCGTTGAAAGGGTATTTCCAAAGTGTGAGGTAAAAGGATGTTTCTTCCATCTTAGCCAAAATATATACAGAAAAATTCAGGACTCTGGCCTTCAACAACTCTACCAAGTTGATAGTGAATTTGCTCTCAAGCTCAGAATGCTACCTGCATTGGCTTTTGTTCCCTGTTCCTATTGAACACGTGAGTTATTCCTTTGAAAAATTATTGGAAATTTCGCCCCAAGAAGCAATGCCCATTGCAGACTACTTTGAGGACTACTATATTGGCAGACCGCAACGTCGAGGTCGGAAACAACCTATGTTTCCACTTGATATATGGAACATGCACACACGTGCAGAAGACTATATGCCAAAAACAAACAACTCAGTTGAAGGCTGGCACAGAAGTTTCCAGTCGCATATGGGAAACTTGCCACCCAAATATTTGGAAATTTATTGACTTTATTAAAAAGGACCAATCGCTCCTAGAGGTTTATTGTACACAGATTACTTCAGGTCACCGTTTTACAAAACATAAAAAAAAATATATTGATAGCAGCTCTCGAATTTTAACTGTTGTTAAAATTGTTAATGAGTTCACCATTATTGAGTATTTGCGATATTTATATATTAATTTTGTTTCTCATCATCTTTGGTTTTTTCTTTATATAAACCTCAATTTGGTGGTTTTTGTCCAGGCGGTTTATTTCGCTGGGGGTTTTTGTCCATAGGTTTATGTCGCGGGTTTTTTTTTTGTCCAGTGGGTTTATGTCGCGGGGTTTTTTTTGTCCAGGGGGTTTATGTCGCGGGGGGTTTTGTCCAGGGGGTTTATGTCCAGGGGGTTTTAGGCCGGGAGCTCAAGACTGGGCAGGGACTGCTTGAGCTCTTGAAACCGCCTTGGGGCGTCAGGTTCGAAAAGGGACCTTTAATAGGGAGGAGGGAGGAGTGTCACTCGCTAATGATTGTGACACTATCACGCTTGTGACACGTTAAAATGCGTGACACACACGTGTGTTACAAAGTCACGCGTGTGACACTGCAACGTATGAGACACAGTCACGGTTGTGACACGTTCACATTCACGACATGACGTTAAGTTGTGTGACAGCCAAATATGACGAGGTCACGTATGTGACACTGACACGTGCCAAACTGTAATAGCAACGAGTCACTGAAAGAGCTTACCAAGAAAACACATCTTCACTAGAATTGTCTTGTACACGTTTCTTACACATTTCAGAACTGTTGAACTTAAGAAATGTGACATTACAGGAGGAAAAGTTTGTTTTTTTTAAATTATCAAGGCTTTTCTAATTATCAAAGGCTTTTTTAACTACCAAGAGCATTTTTAATTACCAAAAATCTTTTTGCATTTTATTTTAAAAGTTTATTTTATTTAAAAAGGCTTTACAATCATTAAATATTTTTAATTATTAAAGATATTTAAAAGTTTATTTTATTTTAAAAAGGCTTTATAATCATCAAATATTTTTAATTATTATAGGTATTTCATTATTAAAGTCATTTCGATTATTAAAAGTTTTGTTATTATTAAATGCTTTTTCCTATGGAGAATATAAAAATTCACTTTCATGGGGAGTTCATTAATAGATTTACATTTATACACACACACACACACACATATATATATATATATATATATATATATATATATATATATATATATATATATATATATATATATATATATATATATATATTTATATATATGTATATATATATATATATATATATATTTATATATATATATATATATATATATATATATATATATATATATATATATATATATATATATATATATATTGAGACTTAAGATTTTCTAGTTTTGCAGCGAGGAAAATATAACTTGATTGGTTCACACAAAAAAACAGCAGATGTTATTGCAGTTACAGATTTAAGTCTCTGTTCAAAAACAGAAAATAAGTACTTTAATAATAACAGGATTATCATTTAAAACTGCAACAATGTAACATTTACTCTTATTTAATGTATCTAATTATTTTTTATTTCTATTTCTAGCTAACTTGCTATTCCGTGCTAATAAAAAAAAACTGAGTTTAAATATTTGATGAATTTTAAATATTTTTTCTTTTTCTAACTGTATTCAAAAACTCCAAAAAAAGCAAAAAAAAAAAAGTAAACAAACAAGATTTTAGTTATCACACAGTCGTTTTGGTTTTATTCACTTTCATAAAGTGGGAGGTACACTCACACACACAAATGCACACAAAAACACAAACACACACACATACTCACACGAACTTACATACATAACGTAAGTGTGTGCAGTTTTTATTATTTATAATCTTATATATTAATACTTATGCTTACGTTAATGGATGTACGTAAATTTATTGCTTGAAACTGACACTTAAGCATTACGTGGAAATAATGCACTTAGTTGCACACATACATATACACGCATAAATAAACTCGAACACTTCCCTCCCTCCCCCACCTCATTGTCGTCCCACCAAGATATCTACATAATAAAATTATATTTACGATAAGCTAAGCTTGCATGCTCGCATGGTAAGTTAACGTAAAATCGTTCAGTAAAATATGATGTCTGTAATACGTTACGTGTACACAAAAACACAGGGACTATTTTCTCTTCTTGATATCGGAGTGATTCATACGCAAACATTCTCACAAACTAAACTTCTATAAGATTCATTTTACACATATTTTTCACATAATTTAAATAAATGTCTGCTTCTAATAAGTTAACTTGAAATCTAATGTTATGAACTGCCCGCTATAAGATGAAGCTTGCCAGTTTTTTTAATCGTTTCAATCAACATCCTGGCAAGTTGGGCGGCTGTGTCGTTACGGTTTCGTATTGTGTCGAAAGACACCAGGCTCGGGTCCGGCTTAGGGTAGGTGAAGTGGTAAGCTGGAAAAAAAATAAAAATAAAAATAGAATGACCTTTTACAAAGGTTATAAATTTTCTAATACACAGCAACCAACTTTTGTAGAGATATATTTATATAAGCGGTATCATACACAAATAAACTTTTGGGCAAATAGTTGGTATTTTAGTGGGATACTGTACTAAGTATACTTATACTACTTATGTAAGTGGGACACTGTACACAGAGTGAGAGAGAGAAGTGCGCACATGGGCTTTTATATATTAGGATATATATATATATATTAGGATATATATATATAGATATTAGGATATATATATATATATATATATATATATATATATATATATATATATATATATATATATATATATATATATATATATATATATATATATATATATATATATATATATATATATATATATATATAGTGACAAGACAAATGAGCTCAAACAATATATCCCAAACTAAAATCTCAAGTACAACATATCACGACAAATATATTAGGACATAATAAATAATATCTAAGGGCAAGATATCTCAGGGCAAAATGTCTCTGGAAAAATGTATACTCACTGCTATCGAATCGGCATGTTTTGAATAAATTAACCCTATACTGACCATTTCTATTATATCAACACGTTGTGAATAAATTAACCCTCTAGTGACAATTTAAATGAAATAACCCTCTACTGACTGTTGTAAAGTGAGTTTCGGTACAGGGTCGATGAACAATAGAGGACGACGATCCAAAGGAGAACACAGAACGACGATACGATGTTTTATCTTTTATTTTACACGATACCAACAGCTACATAGACGACAGACGGAACGACGACTTCTAGACATCCTCACATGAAGACGACAAGACGCAGACTGACTTCTAACAATCTTCATAACAACCAAAACATTCTCTCTTACGTCACATCCTTCTTTATTCACGCATTCATAATTTTTTATTAATACCACTACACACATACTCTCAAACCATCCACAACTTTATTAATCCCATTCAACTACACACATACTCTCAAACTCATTCCATACACTTAAGTCCATTCACAACACTGACCATTTGATTAAATTAACCCTCTACTGACATTTTGAATGTAATAGCCCTCTACTGACCATTAGCTTCCAGAATGTTAAAATCTTGCGTGGGTTTACTGGCGTCCTTGATGTCTCTGATGAAGTCGTCGTGCCAGGCTGGGTGACACACACCGATGAAGCAGATCACCTGGGTACAGATACAACACAGACATTAGAGCAGATCACGTGATCACAGAAACAACACAATGGAGCATGTCACGTGATTACAGACACAACATAATGAAGCAGAACACCTGGGTACAGATACAACAATATAGCAGATCACCTGGGTGGTACAGATACAACACAGACATTAGAGCAGATCACGTGATCACAGAAACAGCATAAGTAGAGGGCAGATATACATAGAATGAAGGATGGGAGAGATTGAAAACTGTGACGGGTAATGTAAGGGATGTCAGGAGAGAGAAAAAGAAATGGGGTATTGTGAGTGAGAGGCTAACTACGGTCTCTTTTACTCTCGTAGAAGTTTAATTAGATCTGTCACTAAAGCGCATTTCTGCTGCCACCATTTATGAGTAGCGTGCTTGATCTTTCCTGTAGTCTCCTGTATGAGCGGTAGATATGAGCTTATCTCTACACTGTCTATAACTTACCTATAGTCACCTAAGTATGAGCAGGTTCTAGCACCTGACTTGTACTCCGTGTAGTGACTATGACCTTACCTGTAACCTTTTATGTATGAGTAGCGTCTCTGGATTTCTCTCAAAGACTTTATAAGGCATCAAGACCCCATTAAACTCCCAGCTGTTGTCACGATATAACCTGAAAATATAATCATATATATATATATATATATATATATATATATATATATATATATATATATATATATATATATATATATCCTATACACATATATATCCTATCCATATATATATTCTAAATACATATATATCGTATTTATATAGACCTGTGTATATATATATATATATATATATATATATATATATATATATATATATATATATATATATATCCTATACACATATATATCCTATCCATATATATATTCTAAATACATATATATCGTATTTATATAGACCTGTATATATATATATATATATATATATATATATATATATATATATATATATATATATATATATATATATATATATATATATATATATATATATATATATATATACATACATATTTAATAGCCCGTAGTTTGGACTCTTTTATGAACCGTGGAAAGCTACTTTACTTTAACTCTCATTATTGTAAACTCATCTGCTGATATATTGATGGTCTTTCTGCTAATTAACTGCTTTTAGTTGATTGCAAAATGTAATTCCATATTAATTATATTTTAAAATGTAAAAATGTATTCACGGTAAGTAAAAAGTTACATGTGTTAACTGAATATCTTGGTTTTAATTCATGTAGGTTCACAGTTAACTCAAGTAATCTACACCTTACTCCTTAGTCGCGTCACTGTTTAAAGCTAAATTGTGCAAACCTTACTTAATTAATTTTTCAGTTCAGTGGTTCTTAACCTGGGTTCAATCGAACCACAGGGTCCGGTAAGTCAGCCTCAAGGGTTCGGCTGAGGTCAAGACCCACACCCAGCCCATATGATTTGTGACGATAGAACTAGAGGCTGCGGCTAACGACAGTTCAAACAAGACAGAGCCATAGAACGACATAGTAATAAAGCACGCCAGAGCGAGATAACATGTATCGGTATCTTGATATTTCTATCTCATAGAACCATTGACGTCACGACACACATACGTCATGAATCAATTCAACGCCACTTATACAGGCGCGCGTTGATTGTGTACATACGTATTGTGACGAACATACTCTTTATTTCTATGTCGTGGTCAAATACTCGAATTATGACTGTCGTGATGGTACGCTGTGTGATGTCTTTCTTAATATTTTAATCCCCGCATACTAACTATGTCGAGGGAAAAAAAAGTGGTGGAACTAATATGTAAAATATGAATTCACATGTAAAACAGAACGTCTTGGGAGTCGGCGTGTTCTGAGCATTAAAAAACATATTTTATTCAATTTTTAATTATTTTATTAAATACCTCCATAAAAACCACTGTTCTAGTTTAAATCCCTTGTTATTGATACTAGTAATATGAGGGGTCAATCAATATTTTAACGTCACAAAAACGTGTGCCCTGTCAATATTTTCAGCCAATATGTTGAACTTACTGAAAGGGACTACTTCCGGTTGTAGCATATTATCCCTGCGGGCGTATGTACATACCAAAAAAAATCAATAAGCTAAACTATAACATTACACGTAACAATGCTCCTGGAAATTTTAATCACGATATGTGTTTCATACATTACGACATCTTAATGTTACATATTGATGTTTTAAGAAAATCAATAAGCTGGACCATAGCGTTACATATCACATCACTTTTGGTAATTTTTATCACTAAGACGCTAGAATATTTTCTAATACTTGATTCACAAATCTATAAGTAAAATTAAAATAATAAATGTAGCAATATTTCTGTAGTTTTACATTATAAAATTAAGCTTTTATATACTGAGATGCCTTAACAAAATTAGATTTTTTTTAAACAACTCGATGATGGCTTGACATCTAAACCGATGGATCGACAAAAATCAATCTTTATGAGTCAACGAAAATTAAAAATTATAAAAAAAAACGACTTTAAAATGTTAAAAAAAACAATCCAGTAAAAAGTTTTAAAAAATATTAAGAAAACTTTAATGTTGTAAAATGTCGGAGCGGACCACAACCACAAGATAGTTTCACCAGAACTATAGGGCTGGTAAGTAGGTCACCAAACAGTTCTATAGCTCACGCAGGTTTTATTGAGCCGTAGAACTGGTTGGTGACCTACTTACCAGCCCTATAGTCGAAGTCAACACGCTAAATTGCGCATAGCATGTTGACAAGTAATTCTTAACTATATTACAATAGGGCTTGCAAGTTTCGGTCTCTCTAAATTAAAATTCAAAATCTCGTTAGTCAGGAAAGAGTTATGAATGTCTAAACTAAATTAAAATTGTTGTGAACACGATCGCCATTGCTTCGAGATTTTAAAATACCAAGAGTACGCAAAATGCAACAATTTTAAACTGTTTACTAATAACAGAATCAAATATTCACATTTGGTTTAACAAATACTAGCTGACAAGTTGGTGACCTACTTACAAACCCTATTGTGAACAGAGAAGAAGGGGAAATAATCAGTAATGCTCATTACCAAAACGAGTCTAGGAACTTGATCAGAAACGGCGCTGCAGGTTTGGCCATCAGTAGTCCGATACTTCCACCTTTTGGCCACACTCCGTAAGATGGCCAGTCCAGGCACATGATGCTAGGGTATCTGCGTAGGTCAGTCGACGGTGGGGTGGCCCAGAATACGTCTTTGTCCTAGATGGTATAACATATACATACTGATTTCTCATATACTGTGTTAATATAACACATATATATTGATATAATATATACGAGTTGATATACCATATCCAAGTGCCCCTTCACGGAGAAAAAAAAAACGTCTGAAGAAACGTCTGAAAGAAACCCTGGCTATATAACGATATACAATACAATCTAAATACTACTAAAACTCAAGTTTATTTACATGTTTGAATTTTTTTTTTTTGTTTGTCTGATTGAATACTGGAGAGAATCGGCGCTAGGTGGAGAGCTGTAAAATAGTATGTAGGTAGAGAACAATTTTTGTTTTCAGACAGACTGTTAATCACAAATTTATTTAAAGACGTTAATTAATATATTGATTTATTCATTGATAGATTAACCACATTAATTTTAAATTTTTCAAACAATGGCTTTACCTTGACTGAATAGTGACGTCAAATGATTTGTTTATTTTTAGTACAATAAGATGGCGACTTCCCTCATGGACTGTGTGGCCCATTCAAAAGTTTAGCGCGTTCTAAAGGTAATTTTCTGTCGGCCGTAACTTTAACAATACGCCCCTTTGCTGTTTTTATTACGTTCTAACACTTATATAAATTTTCAACTGTCTTTTTCATTTACTTTTACAATAAATTTCTCTAGCTCTACAATCTGTCCAAGAAAGTTATCTATTTATTTATAGATCTAAATATCAGGTGGCCAAGAAAGTTATTTATAGATCTAGATCTAGAATCTAGATAGAAACCAAAGATTAATTAGATAATAATACAATCCATTTTATAATCATAATACATTTTTTAGTCCTTCTACTTGATAAAAATCTTTGTGATTTATCTATCTAGATCTAGATCTATCTAGCTAGAATAGGTCTAATGATTAGATCTAGATCTAGATCTAGTAAGAGTTACGCAAAAACTAGACTCGAGACTTAAGCAAACGAGTCGTAGAATATAGATCTAGATCATTCTATCTAGACCTAGATAATTTCCGACCTTCATTATTTTATATAAATCTTTGATATGTAATTTTGGCTAATTTAAGATAAAATTTAATTTGAAAATTACTACTAGATCTATTAGACTTAGATCTAGATCTATGCGCGTAAATCAAGTTGCACAAGGAGACTCAAAGTATTAAACTTTACTATAACAAAACATCAGTGACGTCACCAGTTAAATAGCTAAGTTGTTAGTGTAATCGGCTTTCATGCGGGTGGCACGAGTTCTAGTCCAATACGTCAATGTTAAAAAAAAAATCATTTATTTTAATTTTTTAGATGTGAAGGATAAAGTTGCCTATCTGAAATTGGCGTGATACAGGGCAGGTGAAGTAGAGTTCATCTGTTTCTTTGTCCTAAGCATTTGAAGCGATAGTATGGTCAGAGACATGCTCGACTGGAATCGTTTTATTAAACGATAAAAACATGTTGTCTGAGACATTGCGGGACATTGGGCAGGTGAAGTAGAGTTGAGTAGGTCACCTGTGACGTCAGTATATAAAGGGATAGTCCGAAATCGGTGTTTTCGGTGTTTTTAAAAGATAAAAAACATCTTTTTGAATGTGGGGTCTGGATTTTTGTGACAATAAGTGACAGACGTGATGTTTTTTTTATGGATGACCCCCGAAACCTACAATTATCCAAGGATGACGGGTAGTCTAATTAAATTCTCAAATATATACTACATGCCAGATTATTTTAAACAACACAGTGTCGCATTTATTCTAGAATCTTTTCTTAATCTACTCACAAAGTAAATGCCGCCATATTTGTTACTTAGGTACTCACAAAATAAACGCCGCCATACTTGTTACTTAGGTACTCACAAAATAAATGTCGCCATATTTGTTACTTAGGTACTCACAAAGTAAATGCCGCCATATTTTTTACTTAGGTAGGCCTACTCACAAAATAAATGCCGCCATATTTGTTACTTAGGTACTCACAAAGTAAATGCCGCCATATTTGTAGAGGATCAACGTCCTCAATATATCAGACTGGTGGGCGGGGACTTTGATCGGCTGCTGGTACACTGAATCAGAGTTGTCTGCCTGTAGAGGTAAGACAACAGACATCACAGGACACACAGACACTGCATCAGGAGATGAGGGGAAGAGATGAGGGGAGGAGATGAGGGGGGGGGGATGATGGTAGGAGTTTAGGGTAGGAGATGATTCGAGGAGATGAGGGGGGGAATTTAGGGGAGGAGATAAGGGGAGGAGATGAGGGGAGGAGATGAGGGGAGGAGATGAGAGGGGAGGAGGAGAGGAGTAGGGGAGGAGATGAGGGGAGGAGATGAGGGGAGGAGATGAGAGGGGAGGAGGAGAGGAGTAGGGGAGGAGATGAGGGGAGGAGATGAGGGGAGGAGATGAGGGGAGGAGATGAGGGGAGGAGATGAGGGGAGGAGATGAGAGGGGAGGAGGAGAGGAGTAGGGGAGGAGATGAGGGGAGGAGATGAGGGGAGGAGATGAGGGGATGAGGAGGGGAGGAGATAAGGGGAGGAGATGAGGGAAGGAGATGAGGGGAGGAGATGAGGGGAGGAGGAGAGGGGGGAGGAGGAGAGGAGGAGGGGAGGAGATGAGGGTAGGAGATGAGGGAAGGAGATGAGGGGAGGAGATGAGGGGAGGAGATGAGGGGGGAGGAGGAGAGGAGGAGGGGAGGAGATGAGGTGAGGAGGAGGGGAGGAGATAAGGGGAGGAGATGAGGGAAGGAGATGAGGGGAGGAGATGAGGGGAGGAGATGAGGGGAGGAGATGAGGGGGGAGGAGGTGAGGAGGAGGGGAGGAGATGAGGGGAGGAGATGAGGGGAGGAGATGAGGGGGGAGGAGGTGAGGAGGAGGGGAGGAGATAAGGGGAGGAGATGAGGGAAGGAGATGAGGGGAGGAGATGAGGGGAGGAGATGAGGGGAGGAGATGTAGAGAGGGGATAAGGTGGAGAGTTGAGGGTAGGTTAGGTTGGGACCACTCACCAAAACTACCACACATAAGATATAGGCCTACTACACGATATAAATGAAACGAGAGTGATCTCCCCTAAACTTGCTCGAATATTCTTATATAATACTACGGGGGATGGCAACTCGTGGTAGGCAATTTTTTAAATCCATTTTTTATTACTTAAAATTTTTACTATAGAATCTCGATGAAAAAAGAATTGCACACCAAGTGAATGCCAAACAAAATGTGTATAATATATATATATATATATATACATTTATATAAATTTACATGCGGTTTTTTTTTTATTGATAAATCAGAAATAGCGTAAATGACTACTTCCATTCAACGGAAATTAGTCAAAATTTATTTGACAGACGGCAGAGAATTAGAACTTTTACTTACATGTGAAATTGCATTTATCTAACTGAAAAAAGTACTCCAGTTTTAGACTTTTGAAAAATTGAAAGTAGAAAAAGTTCCACTTCCGGTTATCGGAAATCGCTGAAAATTGTATACAGATTTATAAATTTGACAGAATACATATATGAAATTTCATCAACCTAGCTGTAACGGTACTCTAGTATTCGTGTTCACAAACACACACAAACATACACACACAGACACACGTACAAGATTGCAAAACTGTGTTTTTCCGACTCAGGGAGGTGTTAAACGTCGAGATTTGCAAAAACCTCGATTTTTTTTTCACGATTACAAGACTATCTATAAAGTAATAAACCGGGAGTGATCTCCCCTAAGCTTTCTCGAATATTCTAATATAACACTACGGGGGATGGCAACTCGGGACATGGAAAATATTTTAAATCCATTTTTAATTACTTAAACTTTTTATAATAGAATAGAATCTCATAAAAAAACTGCACGCCACGTGAACGCCAAATAAAATGTGCATAATAGTGCCGGATATTATTATTACTTAACAAATTCACATGCGTTTTTTGAGAAATCAGAAATAGCGTAAATTACTACTTCCGGTCTACGAAAATTACTCAAAATTGGATAGAAGGCAGAGAATTAGAACTTTTACTTACATGTGAAATTTCATTTATCTATCTGAAAAAAGTACTCAAGTTATAGTCTTTTGAAAAATTAAAGGTAGAAAAAGTTCCACTTCCGGTTATCGGAAATCGCTCAAAAGTTGATACAAATCTATGATTTTGATATAGTACTTATTTATGAAATTTCATCAACCTAGCTGTATCGGTACTCAAGTTATCGTGTTTACACACACACACACACACACACACACACACACACACACACACACACACACACACAAACACAGTCATACGGACAAGATTGCAAAAAAAATAATTTCCGACTCAGGGAGCCCTAAAACGTCGAAATTTGCAAATTTACAAGACTTTCTCTAAACTTCGTATATACGAGAAAGTAAAAAAGGAGAAAACGAATTAGCTTTTAACCCGAGGTTTATAGCAAGACGACAGCTTAATGCAATCGATTATTTAAAAATCTTGCTCTCCTTTTAAGTAGGATTTGTACATGCAGGCTTAGTGAGTACTTTACAATTTCAATGAGAGGGGTGTAGTTAAGGTAATATACACACAGCTTTGTGTTTTGAACTCCGCGCCTACTTAAAATATTTTCCAAGACACTGTTGAAAGTGATACGGATAAACTGCAAATTTAGAAAACAAATATATTTTTCTGAAATTGATTTTTTAGGGGATCGATATACTGATAGTAGAATTGATTGATAACAATGTGGTCGGGTTGGGTAAAAGTACGATTTCTTTTGTTGTTGACAAGTTACTTGATAAGTGTGTGGACATGCTTAAAAAAACACAAGCAGATCGGACTGAATCGATTGATTTTTTTCGGGAAAAACAGCCATCCCTAATGTTGTTTTTAGTGTTTCAGGGGGGGGGGGATATAACTTTTTAATTGGGGGGGGGGAAACTTAATTTTATTGGCGAGGGGGAGTGAGACAATACTAGTGTAAAATATACGCAGTCCAACCATGCGTAATGAAGTCTAAATAAGCAGTCCAGAGTCAATCAATATAGTTTAAATTAAACCAATAATCCATGGGCGTATGCTTATATAGTTTGAATTCAACCCGCACAATATAAAATCAAGCCACATGGTTTAAGTTAAAAAAGTCTAATGTCAACCCACACACAACCAACTCACGTAAACGAATGTGATATTCTCCCCTTGAAGCCTGTCCCACCACTCACCAGATGGCACTGTGTCCCCGTGGACATAGATCCTGCATGAATTGAAGATATATATATATATATATATATATACATATATATATATATATATATATATATATATATATATATATATATATATATATATATACATTTTATTATATTATGCAAGCGTACCCATCCTAGCGCGTTGTCGCGGGGTTAGAAGAAAATCTGATGAAATATCTAAGAAGTGTTTCATCAATGCGTTACCAAGCCTATGTTCTTAGACTCGTGACCTTGTTTTCTAAAACTGAGTTCTGAGTAATTTAAATGTAAACATTTTGTGAAAGCCTTGAGTGTACGTTAATCACTAACCGAAATAATGAAGTAGAACACACTTCGGTGACCGCCCAATTGTCAGGGACGAAGAAGGGCGCTCTCGGGAATCCTCGATTACACTACCAAAAGGGCGCCGCGTACGGCCCCTGGCTATTTAAAACTAATATAGGCGCCGTTGGTGCTCACAGAATAACCCAGAGCGCCACATAGCATCCTGAAACAATGATGCAGATTGCGTCATTCTCTTAAGTGACACAAATCAACAGGATTTTTTTCTTTAACACGTAGTTGTTGTGTTCTAATCAACTCCCCAAAGTTTGATGGCGATCGAATGAACGCTGTGAAACCGAAATCGACTTATCTTTTTTCTATTCCGTATATAGAGAAAAAAATAGAACCCTACCGGGGTTCCACCCCTTCGAATTTGATTTTTTTTTGTGTGCAGAAACCTCCCCAGGAATATTCTCAACACTGCGATCGAATGAAAGGTTTAAATATATATATATATATATATATATATATATATATATATATATATATATATATATATATATATATATATATATATATATAGTTCCCCTTTCTATTTTGGCCAGGTATAGATAGCTCACCTTTCTATTTTGGCCAGGTATAGATAGCTCACCTTTCTATTTTAGATAGCTCACCTTTCTATTTTGGCCAGGTATAGATAGCTCACCTTTCTATTTTGGCCAGGTATAGATTGCTCACCTTTCTATTTTGGTCAGGTATAGATAGCTCACCTTTATATTTTGGCCAGGTATAGATAGCTCACCTTTCTATTTTGGCCAGGTACAAGGCTGATAGCATTGCCAGGTAATGCTGGAACAAGAACTTGACGGGAGAACCTGGCTGTGGGTTCAACGACACGACATGTCCAATGTTTGGGATCAGGTCGTTTGGATCCTGAAACATCAATTCAACGTTTTCAATTTTCTTTTTTTTTTTTTTTTTTTTTTGGATTTTAAAACATGGAAATTAAATTTGGTTTACAACTCTGAAAAATCAAACGAAAAAATAAAGTTTCCACTGATCTTCGTTCGGATCCTGAAGCATCCATTTGAAACCTTTGTAAATTATTGCTTTTTCAAATCTAATCAAAAAGTTCGTACTGATATTTAGATTAAACTCAGATCCTGAAATATCTAATCTGATAGTTCGTATTGATCATTTGTTCGGATTATGAAACGATCGATTAAATAGGTAGTGTTTATTAGACTAGTCATATACATCTACATAAACTGCAGAAAATTAAAGCACAATGTATCATTCGATTCTATATTGTTTAGAATTTGATTTTATATCCTTTGCCCTCTTATCTTTATTAAAAATTTATTATTTTTTATGTGATATTTTAAAAGTTACACTTCACAAACTATAATCACACATGAGAAATCACACAGCTTTTAGAAGAAATGAAACATGAGAGAGATGAAGTAGAGTCTTAAGATCGTCATATATACCTTCCATAATTCAACGTATACGTAATTAGGGGTTAGATTTGTCATGAAGTTTGAAAGAATGAACTTCAGATATAAAACTACAATGGTTATCTTTTCTGTTACTCGCTTGCATTGATGTTTGGACTTAGTAGCACGTCCTATCTTTATGAAAAATATCTTATCGACGTATATCTAATCCCCTTTTAGACGCCAATAGCCTAAAGACGTTGGTACGTCGTGATACTCTCAGTTATAAAAGATTAGCGCGTCTTTGTATGTGAGTAAATAGATAAAGAGATTAAACCCAGCAATTTGGCAGTAATGAAATTCAATAAGGACAAATATATTTCACTAAATCCGTATCCTGGTGTGTTTGATAAAAGGATTATCCAAACTAAGAAAGGTTGAGTAGATTGTGAGCGGATGATTTGATGATTGATCAACGTTTTGTAATGATTTCACGTTTTCGGTCACATAAAAATATGTGATATGTTATTAGTTATGTAATATTTAAATTCATAGATCGGGTGTATTGTTTGTATGTGTTACTTGACTTTACACATAGCTTACAAAATGTCAAGAAAAATATTGAAGGTTTGAAAAAATTGGTCAGATTATTAGACGCGAGGCCTAGCGGTTGCGAGCTATACTGCTCAATCAAAATCTCGAATTCGAATCATGGTTCAACTCAGTAGGATGTCTTCAAGTTAAGGAAAACAGAAGCCACACTATCCCTTCATATGCCGAGGTATATAAAACAGGTAAACTCTACTTCATCTGTCACATGGTTTGATTAAAAGATATAACTAATTTTACACAAAACCAACTGACCTCCCTTAACTGAAATAAAGATTTGAATGTAATGAAAACCAATTTACCTCTACTTAACTGACAGAAAGAAAGATTTGAATGTAATGAAAACCAATTGATCTCTACTTAACTGACAGAAAGAAATATTTAAATGTAAAGAAAACCAACTAACCTCCCCTTGTCTGACAGAAAGAAATATTTAAATGTAAAGAAAACCAACTGACCTTCCCTTGTGTGACAGAAAGAAAGATTTGAATGTAAGATACCAAATGACATCCCCTTAACTGTCAAAAAAAAAAGATTTGAATGTAAAAAAAACCAACTGACCTCGCCTTGTCTGACAGCCACTGGTTCCGACTTGCCATAGAACAATCTTCTCGCCAGAGAGGCGAATGGCGAGGTTTCGTTAATGATGTCCTCGGGTACTATTCCATCCGGCACGGCCAGGCAGGGGGACAAGTTCTGAGACAACTGACCCCTGGTGTTAAACTCTGTCCCATTGTTGCCAGCGTTGAACTTATCCAATGTCAGACATTCGAACGACCTGTTTAAAATGTTGATTTTATACTTTGGTAAAGTTGACCCGTTCCCCAAGTGACCTTGAGATGCTAAAACAAACACCTGTTCACTGCGGTTGGAACCGGATGTGACGTAAGTAAAGAATTTCTCCGAGCGCCATTCTTTAGGAATATGCGTGACCAGCGCCCGCTCCCCAAAATAGAACCCCCCGCCTGGGCTGGACGCCAGCTGATCCAGACCGTAGTCCAAGGCGTCGGTCGTGTTACAGCGGATGAGCTTAGAAGCCACTCGGAGCTCAAGACTAGGCAGGGACTGCTTAAGCTCCTGAAACCACGTGTGGTAGTAGCGTTCAACCACCGGCAGTTTGTTGTAGTGAAACACCAACTTCAGCGGCCTGAGAACCCGCACCACGCTCAAAACACCCAGATAGTCTTCAAACTTGAACAGCTTCTCCCCGCACCAGACGTAATGGACGGTCGTTGGCAGCATCCCCGGAGGGTCACGTGACGCTTCCACGTCGTTGCCTAGCAACGAGATCCTCATATCTTTCTTCTGGTTAACAACATCACTCAGTAAATCCCGATACAGCCGCTGTCTATCGGCTGTATGCTGTTCGTCGCATTTCTTCACGACCAGATCGCTGTTTTGTAACGTCCAATTTTTCGCCTGCATGGTGTGAATAATGGCGCTGTTGTCAAAATGGCGCCTGTCAGAAGTCACATGATCCACTACCAACGAACGACATCTCAAGTGAGTATTTATATACATCACCAACATCATGATGATTGAAAGTAAACTAAGAATTATAAATTTGTTGATGTATCTATTCCTAAATGACATCTTTACCGTTCCGCTATCTGAAATTGTAAAGAAACTAAAACAAGTTTTACTATTCCTTTTAAAGTGGAGTACACTTAACACTGGCGAAGGATTTAAAAAATTCAATAAGATTTAACACTTGGCGTTTCTGGTTAGTAGTGTTAATGTTGTCAACACGGTAAACGATTAGCCGTGTAAGGACAACAGCTGGGTTTGGGGCGGTTCACAAAATGTTAATCCTACAAGAACATACGCTAATCCTTCGGAAACATTGAGCTGTGTAGGGGTGAGGGTTTGTTAAAGGCGTGTTCATGCTTCGATTATAAAATGTGTTTTAAAAATTTTTTAACTAGGCTCGGTATGTTTGACTTTAGCTAGCTTGATTAGTTTTATAGGAGTCAGTGAAGCGTCAACATAAAGAAGCATGAAAGGCCAGTTAATACATATGGAGGTTGTCAGAGGCGTCAGTAAATTTGGTGCTGGCTTTAGTAGCAAACAACAGCCGATAAACAGAGACGCTTGTGCTCGTAAGTGAGGACGGATCAGTCACGCCCTAAGAAAAAACAATGTGAATATCGCGAGGAAAGTATTAGATTGGAGCCTAAATCTTCTTCTCCAAGGAAAAAGAAAATATGTCCGTTCTAAACATTCACGGAGAAAGACTGTAAAAGGAGAAGCTGCATGGGGAAGGGGGGGGGGGGTCATGGGTTCATCTAAAAAGAGCTGCCCAAAACAAATTCCGTTGAAAAGGGTTTAGCTGCAGCTCTTTGCTTCTCGTGAGCTTCGTAGGATTAAGTTACGTAACTCATTCCTACACAATGGAGCCAGAGGCGTCACCATTAGTGAAAGCATTCAGGGGCGTCAACCTAAATAACTCTGCCTCATAAGTCTAGCTTAATTGTCCTTCCAAGTTTTAACGTAACCAAACCAAATACAACTCTATAATTTGTGTGAGTTAACTCAGTCTTAATAAGTACCTGGCAATGTAGAAATACACTTCTAAAGAATATTATTTTCAATCAGTCTGGATTTAGACTTTCCTATTTACGTATACATGTTCTAACTAATCATTAACAAGCTCCATATTATATTCACTATTATTATCCCTACTGCCCCAACCCTTACCCCTTAATCAAGATCTCTAACTTATCGCTAACTTTCCCTTGGCCTGTTCTAAACCTATCTGTAACCTAGTGCCGGCGCCAGGTTATTTAGCGCCCTAGGCAAAACTTATTAAAACGCCACCTTTCACAAAAATTAATTACTAAAACATATGTATAAGAAAACAATTAATTAAAAGTGACATTCATTTATTATCAATTAGCATACATGTTATAAGTAGACATCAAAATCAAATTTTACTTGAATTCTTCGTCTCAAAAGTTTGTACTAATTCCTTTAATTCCAGTTTGCAAGCGTAATCACTTTGTACTTTACGAAATAGCCCCCCCCCCTTCACCCCGCCCCCCTTAGAAAATTTTAAGTGCACCCCCTCTCGGGAGAAAAAAGTCTGGAAAAAATACACTAAAACAAAAATAATTCTTGTATTGTTGGGCTCTCTGCAGTCCTCCCAAGGTGAGTTCCAAAACGGAACTTACCTGTTTTAAGCTTGAGTGTCTTTATTTATAATTGTAAAATGCCTATATTGTGTGATTATTTAACGATTTTTTTGTTTTTGAAAAATAAAAAGTTTTAAATGTTATAGATTCCAACATTAAATTGTTATATATTTAGGAGAGGGTGAAAAATATGAAGACAATTAATTAGATGTTTAATTTACGACTTACACTGTATGTCTACTAACATTTAGTATTGCAATCTACAACGGCTTGTTTTTCAACTTGATAATACTAAAAAATCCTACCAAACTATTTTGTTTAGAACTTAAGCTCTACATAATTTTTACAATAGCAAATAACTTAAAGTTGTATTTATATGTAAGCGGCCAACCTAAGGTGCAGCAATTTTGAAAAGAATGTAAAGTTAAGCAACGAATTATCTCCCATTTGAAAAATCCAAATACCAAAATTTTATTCAAGGGAAATAACTTCCACAAGAATAGCTAAATTAACCAATTGTAACTAAGACATGTTTTAAAACCACATCTAAACGTTCTAAATTTGATTACGTAATAATTATAACAAACCTTTTGCATTAGGTATTTAAGCGTGTAAAAAACAATATATTTTACGTATTGAATACTTAACTTTAGGTTTTTTTCGAAAGTCTAAAAATTGTAGCTTTATTATAACATACTTCTGTTTAATTTTGATGACAAACACGTAATTGTATGTTCACCCAATTACAAACATAAACCAAAATTTTGGATCCCTTAACTAAAGGGACGACTTTCAAAAAATCAAACACGTGCAACTGTTATTGAGTATAGACGTTGCTAGAATTATCTAATATAAAAAAAATTATAATTTGAAAAATACATTCCATCCTATTTAATACCATATATTAATACTATAAGAGTAGTAAATTAGATTCCTAAAAAACAAGATTTTTCAACTAGAGAACGCCTACCTTTCTTTGTAGTGTGTTCCGTACTGAATTGAAATCTTCTAACTTACGATGAAGTCGACCACTCGATATACTCTACTACATTCACTACACATATCAAACTTCGGTACCTAAACATAACTAGACTCGATGCTCCTGAACTACGACACCAACTCGTTTAACTTCACCAAGCTCTACATACGGTACTCCCAATCAACAACGATTTCACTGGACCTACTACTACATTCTAACAGTCAATATAATTCGATACCCTAATACCACAAGAATCAATACTCCCGAACTCCAGAACTACGATACTTCATCACCTGCATTCTCATTTCTCTATTACCAATCAGATTCCACAAAACCTTCAACTACAAAACAGACGAATAAAAATTATGACACTAATTTAACACTTGGATACTTTATACCTACAAAACCATATCAACAACAGCCTTCCGCGGTTACTCCCAAATCTAAACGATTCATCAAAACTTACCAAACAAGTACAATACTTGGAACACCCTGTCATTACAAAACTGTATATACCAGAACACAGAGGCGTAGCGAGGGGGGGGGGGGGCGCCGGGGGGGGGGCATATGTCCCCTGGCTCCGTCCTTAGGAGGGCGCCAAATTAAAAGTTTGAGGGGGGGTGCAAATCGAATGTTTGTCCCCGGGCGCCGGGAAGGGTCGCTACGCCTCTGCCAGAATTTAAATTACGAACTTATTTAATCATTTTCTACAACAATTGTGTGATACCAAATTCAAAAGGCAAAGTGACTGGTAAAAAGCGCCCCGACCTTTCCGAATTAGGGAGGTGGGGTTGCATTTTCACCATCGCGAATAAATATAACCTATATAGACTTAATTTTGGGGTGGGGTGCCGAAATAGATCGCTACTCTTTTATAAAAGTTATTAATTATTAGGTACTTTTTACTTTCTAGTATATACGACGTAGGCCTATAGAGAAAGTATTGTAATCGTGCAAAAACAAAAAATCGTGCAAAAACAAAATCGAGATTTTTACAAATCTCGACGTTTTACACCTCACTGATACGGAAAAACATAATTTTGCAATCTTGTCCGTATGTCTGTGTGTCTGTGTGTCTGTGTGTCTGTGTGTGTGTGTCTGTGTGTACTTTTATTACTTGAGTACCGTTAGAGCTAGGTTGATGAAGTTTCATATATAAGTATTTTATCAAAATCGTAGATCCGTATCAACGTTTGAACGATTTCCGATCACCGGAAGTGGTACTTTTTCTACTTTGAATTTTTCAAAAGCCTATAACTTGAGTACTATTTCAGATAGATAAATGAAATTTCACATGTAAGTAAAAGATCTAATTCTCTACCTTCAGTCGAATTTTGAGCAATTTTCGTTGACCTGAAGTACTAATTTACGCTATTTCCTATTTCTCAAAAAACGCACGTAAATTTATAAAGTACTAATAATATTGCGCACTATTATGCACATTTTATTAGGCGATCACTTAGTGTGCAATTCTTTTTTTTTTACGAGATTCCATTCTATTATAAAAAGTTTAAGTAATTAAAAATGGATTACAAATATTGTCTATGTCCTGATTTGACATCCCTCGTAGTTTTATATTAGAATATCCGAGAAAGTTTAGGGGAGATCACTCCCGGTTTATTGATAATAGCAATAAAACCTTTTGCGCCCCCCCCCCTAGGGATGGCGTCCTAGGCGACCGCCTAGTTCGCCTTATAGGTAGCGCCGCCCTATTTATAACCTTACTCTTATCCCTATTAAGTTTAGGGTAAATTAGTAACTGAACGGGAGTAGTTTGTTACTGCAGTAGTTTTATAAGCAATGTACAGGGTGAGGAGAGTTGACATAGTTAATTAATCTGTAAAGGGAAATGAGGGGTAAATAACAAGGGAGTAGTTGATTGAAGGGGGGGGGGGTGTAAATCTCTTGGATCCTTGCTTACATGTCGCCGCCTGTAGAAGACTATGTGGACAATTGTATGGATCTGTGTCTTGTATTTGCTGGTGGCTGTATGGTGCTACGGCGGTTCTGTATTTTAATGATAACAGTCCTGGGTCACAACAATGACAGTTCAGAGTCATACAATGACAGTTCAGAGTCATACAATGACATGTCAGAGTCACACAATGACATTTCAGAGTCACACAATGAAAGTTATATGTTATACTATGACAGTTCAGAGTAAAAAAATGACAGTTTAGAGTCACAATATGACAGTTTAGAGCAGTGTTTCTTCCAGACTTTTTTCTCCGGGGGGGCACTTGAAATTTTCGGGGGGGTGGGGGGGGGCGGCGGACACTGTTAAAAGTATATATTTTCTATATAAATTATATAAATTTCGTTTCGTTCGGGGGGGGGGGGTAAAAAAATTTTCGGGGGGGGGGCTTAGCCCCCTCCGAAGAGATGCCTGGAAGAAACTCTGGTTTAGAGTCACACAATGGCAGTTCAGTCACATAATGTCAGTTCTGTTATACAATGAGATTTCAGCGTCAAACAAGGACAGCTCTGCTTATTTCATACTGAACACCAGTCGTTCCGCCTCACACCCAACTCAACAAAGGCTACACAGTTCTTGTCGTTGTATTCAGGTTTTTCCAACAATCAACGTAACATACTATGCTTGTCGCTACCAAAAAGGCACCTAACCATCATTTATACTCTCATAGACACACCGGGGTTAACACATAGACGATTCTAAGCTAACCTCCAAATGGCCCGTAACATTTAGTAAAAACGAGAGTAGCTCTTGACTTCCTCGACAATAGGGCGTGTAAGTTTGTTTGCTTTTCTTACTTAAAATTGGAAATCTCATTACAGTGGCACCCCCCCCCCCTCAGACTTTCGATTTGCACCCCCCCCTCATACTTTACATATATACCGAGGGGTCAATGGGGGTTTATGACCCCCCTAACCCCCCCCCCCCCCCGCCTACGCCACTGTCTTGTTAGCCAGGTCAGGTGAATTCTTAAATTATCAATATCAGTTTTTACGATTTTAAATAACTTAACAATAACGCAAGTAACTTTTATTTCTGTTTTTACCGATTTAATAAACATAATCACAATTTGTTTGAAAAATACTAGCTGGCTAGTATGATACAAAGTTGGTGACCTACTTTCCAGCCCTATTGCTATGTTTGCGGTCACAGTGGGATAGAATTAGCTAGCCACAAGATTTGATTGAAATCGATTTAAAACACTAAGCGGCTGCTCGACATATGTTCACTTGCTAATTATAACAAACGGCGCGCTGCATTGGTAGCGTGACGTCATAACTATTAGTTATAATTCGATCCGTTTGTGGACGTGTGTGTGGAGGGGGGGGGGAGTGAGGACAAAAATATGAAAATCTTTAAACAGCAATACGGGGGCGGGGTGGTCGGAGGGGGAAGCGAATAATTGTTAACTCAAAAGGTCAGAGTTCGAACCTCCGGGAAGATGAGGTTCGATAACTGGGGACAGCAACCGATCTAGGAGAGACAACTCCAACATGAAACAACTGCTGCCTTGTTGCTTGTTCCTGGGTGGTAAAAGGCTATGGAAGCAAACCCAGAATGAAAAGCAGAGTCAGAGTCTACGGGTCTCAGGAGGCTTAAAATCTTGACACGTAATACTTGTGTTGAAGGAAATCATTTTGAATTGTACAATGAAAAACGAAGAAGAAAGACGTAGCAGTGGTCAGTGTTTCTTTCAGAGTTTTTTCTCCGAGGGTGCACTTGATATTTTCGGGGTGGCGGACTAAATTTTTCTGGGGCGGGGACACTGGTAAAGTATATATTTTCTATATAAATTCAATTTCGGTACACTACATTCGGGGGTGGTGGAGCTTCCTTCTACCCCCCTCCCCCCCCCCCCCCTTCCCCAGAGATGCCTGACATAAACTCTGCATGTATTGTATTCGAAGGCAACTCGTAGAGGAAATATTTCCTAGCAAAGTAAATAAAAGTATTACACTGAGCAAGGGATGGTAGTACTGAAAACTGAGGGTTGGGTGGGGAGGGGGGCGGAGTGGTCTAGTATTAGAGAACGCACTGTCTGACCTAGAAGTCACGAGTTTGAGATCGAGTTTACCCGTACCAGTACGGGAAACAAACCGGAAACAGATGATCAGCTGACAACAGCAACAGGACATTACCTCCCCCCCACCCACACACACACAAATACCCCCCTCCCACCTGTGATTCGTTATTTAGTTGCACTATATCAACATCTTTTCGCTGCAGGGAAAAAAATTAAATTCAAGACTTTATGATTTTCAATAATAGGTGGTTTGTATTTTAAAATGATCAAAAAAAAAAAAATCAAAATAAAGATAATTTATTGTTTTACTTGTTAAATTTTAGTAACCTACTCAAGTAAATAGTCCGATGGAAAGGTCTAACTCCTATGGGCCATGTAGTCAAGTAGGACAAAGTAATTAAGTAAATATTTTAATATATTTGTTTCAAATCCGCTTTGAAATAATGTTTTTTTTTAATAATTTGTTAAACAATTGTGATAAATAAAATGTTTCAAAGATACGTCTTAGGTTAGAATGTAATTATTTGAAAGTAAACAATACATATGTGTCTATTTCAAAGTAGTTTCTAAATGCAGAATATAAAAAGAAAATTAGCGCATTTCTTTTTTCACAATTTTTCCTTTAGCTTGTATGAGGTTGTGAAGTGATGAGGTCAATGGCGTCGCTTGGTTGGGAGTCACTCGGTGCGGCACCTCATTGTGTCACCCCCCCCCCCTCCCTCCGCGCTTTCTTTTTTCTCTGTAAATTTTGCATTTGGTGTCAATTCCCCCCTACCCCCAGGTAAAAGCTTTAAAGTGTTCCCATTTAATACTAATGATGTATATCTGTAGTCGGTTGTTAATACAGCTGGACGTAGCATTGTTTTCTCTAGAGTTTGCGTGTCTACGTCATGGTGTGACCCCCCCCCCCCCCCCTCCCCTTGTCGTGATTGTCATTATGTACTTAAAATACTTTTTAACTCTAGTTAATCATTCATTGAACTGACAAAAACATATCTTTTCTATATATCTTATAATATTTTTGTCTTTGTGTCACCCACCTAAATGAATGAGGTAGTTTTGAACGTGTGAGAGGGGGAGGAGGGGGGGATGAGTCGGGTTGGCTTGAGAAAAGTCATGTTCAAGTAAGAATGGAAAACAAAATTAGGTACAAACGTCCTTACATTAAAAAGCACATATTTTGCCAATGGGGTCAACCATGACGTAAAAAATAACGTACAACCGGATCTGTTTCAGGTGAATGCAATGTTTACCTGTTCTAGTTGCAAAGAGAAACAAGAGGTTGCCCCCTTTAATACTAGCTATGTTTACAGGAACGTAACGCTACGTTTCTCTTTCAGCACAGTGCGTTACTTCGATATTTAATTAACAAGTTAAATCTTTTTTAATTACTCGATTTTATCGAGCATGTGTTGTTTTTTTTTTAATTGTTGCAATTTTTTTTTTATCGACGTTACTTTAAAAAAACAAATTAAAATACTTTCTACTCACAATGTGTAATGAAATGTGCATTTTTACATTGATTAATTCTTTTCAATTTTATAACCATCAAGAAATAAAATTTGCGATTATACTTTAGTTTTAAGCTGAATAGATTTTCCTACATAATTAGGCCTACGCATTTTTACATTTTTACAGCACTACACTATTTGCAGAATTTCTGATCACACAGACACACACACACACACACACACACACACACACGAACACACACACACACACTCACACACACACACATACACGCACGCACGCACACACACACACACACAGACAGACACACACACACAGACACACACACACACACAGACACACACACACACAGACACACACACAGACACACACACAGACACACACACACACACAACCACACACACACACACACATATATATATATATATATATATATATATATATATATATATATATATATATATATATATATATATATACATATATATGTATATATATATATATATATATATATATATATATATATATATATATATATATATATATATATATTGATTGATTAATTTTATTTCTTGTTCCGATGAGGTAGAAGCTCAGTAAATATTTTAGAAAGAAATCTATGTTCTAAAAGCCAAACAAAAAAAAACAAAAAACAAACATGTACGATGTGGGGTCTGGCTTTTTGTAACGATGTGTGACATTATGAAAAATACTAAGACGTCAGCTACCTGCGGTAACTAAGTACACATTGACACATTTTACTTTACAATTCCCCAGCCCCCCTCCCCCTACACCCATTTGTGCTCAGTCCTCCAGGCTATAACCCAAGAATCTAACAGATAATTTCCTGACTATCATAACATCCGCCTTATTTTAATTTCAAAACCAAAAAAAATATATTTTCTCGTCATATCCTTGTCCTTGTTTTATCTAGTCCATATCCTCGTTTCCTCAGGTCAACAGGTGTTTGTCTGTCTAACCTATAAAAGGTAGATCCGTCTTCACAAACTACGAGACATCCACAATTTGTTCTTGGATTTTGTTCATAGAAAACACAACATGAAGATTCTCTACACAATTTTTGTCGTCCTCTGTTGTTTCACTTACATTCAGGCGCAAGGTATTTTATTTTATTTCGAATTTTTTATTTAAAAGTTTGCAACGATTTGTTAATTTAGCTGCAGGTATAGGGTTTTGTAATGTGGAGTTTGTATGAGTATGGTTAGGTAGAGAGGCGAGGGAGAGTGGTGTGAGGTGGAGTTGTAGTGGTGGATGGGTTGATTGGAAGAAGAGGTGTAGTGATAGTGTTGGATGTATGGGTGGATGGGTGGAGTGGTAGAGGGGTAGAGAGGTAGAGTGGTAGTGGTGGATTGATGGGTGGCTGGGTGGGTGGATGGAGTGGAGTGGTAGAATGGTTGATAGATAGAGTGGTAGTGGTAGATGGGTGTAACGATGAAGAGGTAAAATAATCGATGAAATTATTTAGAGCTTAGATGGGTGTTAGTGTGTTAGATTAAGATAGCCTCAAAATGTGATCGTGTGTTTGAATTTGGATGATGATCTCTAATTAACCAGGATTAAGAGATAACTCAATCTTTATAATTACACGAATTTAACTTCTCTAAAATGTGCGTATATAAAAATATCTTTACATATATAACTAGAAATAAAAGCAGTTCTCATTCAAGAAATATATTAAATACATTCTACTGACAAACGCATTAACTATTATAGCTAAAGTAAATTATGTTTTTATTTTTCTTATATTTAGTGAATTTAAAAGTGTGAAATTATAAATGCTTCTTTATGTTATAGGTTTTACTTTTTTTTTAGGTTAGATTTAAAAATAATATGTTAACAAAGAATTATCTTTAGTACTAGCGATCCGTTCGGCAGATGAAGTAGTGTTCATGTTTCTTGACCTCGGCATAAGAAAGGGTAGTGTGGTCAGCATTTGGCCCAGCCGTCTTTACTTTCCCTAACATGAGTTAGGTACCCATCAGATCTGGGTGGACTCAGGGACGTCCTACTGATTTGAACACAGGACTTTCGACTTTCTATAGCGCTCTACCACTAGTCCATGCCGTCCCAGAAATAGCATGTAAAAACCCCACTATATTTATAGTCCACCGCGGTAAAGAAATCTAAAACATTCATGAGCACCAACTCCCCTGACCGTCTACTCTCCCCACAGACCCTAAAATCGCCTGCAAGTATGAGTCGGTCAGCAGCGAGGGCTTCAAGCTTGCACGTGTGACCATCCCAGGGGCCCTACAGGTGCTCAACATGACCCTGGTCAACCAGTACTCAAACAGCCCGTGTACCCCCGGGGCGTCGTTTGGCTACAGCGGTCCTGACATATTCGCCAGTAACGGGTGTCGGGGAAATTTTCTCGTCTGTTATGAAGTTGGTGAGTAGAGGGTTAATTTAGATATGGTCAAAAACTGTAGCAAAAACGTTTGTTAGGGCCTTAAAATATTTGTCCCCAATTTTTACTTTCTCGTATATACGAAGTATAGAGAAAGTATTGTAATCGTGCAAAAAAATCTCTTGAAATTTTAACCATTTTCACCGTATTACACCTCAGTCCTTCATCACATCCGAAGTATAGAGGACTTATTTTAATCGGGCAAAAATTATCAATCCAGTTTTACCAAAATTAAGAGGTTTTATGCGTAATCCATTCTGAAAAACTGGGCTTTGCAATTCTGTCCGTATGTCTGTGTGTCTGTGTGTGTGTCTGTGTGTGTGTGTGTAAACACAATTACTTGTGTACCGTTACAGCTAGGTTGATGAAATTTCATATAAAAGTATTTTATCAAAATCGTAGATCCGTATCAACTTTTGAGCGATTTCCGATAACCGGAAGTGGAACTTTTTCTACTTTGAATTTTTCAAAAGCCTATAACTTGAGTACTTTTATCAGATAGATAAATGAAATTTCACATGTAAGTAAAAGATCTAATTTTCTACCTTTTGTTAAATTTTGAGTAATTTCCGTTGACCGGAAGTAGTACTTTACGCTACTTCCGATTTCTCAAAAAACTAATGTAAATTTTTAAAGTACTAATAATATTGCGCACTATTATGCACTTTTCTATTTGGCGTTCACTTGGTGAGTGTGCAATTCTTTTGTCTACAAGATTTTATTCTATTTTAACACGTTTTTCTTAACTCAGCTTCGCGTTTGTGGATTTGTTTGTTTGTTGTTAAAATTGACATCGAAAATTAGCCCACTTCTGATTGCTCTACAGATCTGAAATTTGGCATACAGGCTACTTTCGCCTAACAATTTCAAATGCAATCATAAAAACTAGCAATTAGAGACCGTAATTAGCTTAATTTAATTACGCCCCAAGGACCATAAAATTGAGGACATGATTTCTAAAGATACCGACAAGACTGGAGGCTTATAGACACAGTTACTTCGGCCCCAATCGATGTGAGCGCGCTGGCCGTGATCGTATAGTGGTTAGTACTTCGCGTTGGGGCCGCGACAACCCAGGTTCGAATCCTGGTCGCTCAAGATTTTTTTAGTCCGTGTATTTATAAACACTTAGTCAAGTCATACTTAATCAAGTCATTAGATAAAGTAGAAAATAAACTATATAAACAACTTTTTTAAAAACCACGTTTTTCATGTGTAGCAACGGACTAAAAAGGAGAAAATAAAATACTTAAAAAAAACTTTTTAAAAAACCACGTTTTTCTTGTGGACTAAAAAGTAGAAAATAAATTTTTCTTTTGTGCTTCCTCGAGCTGTGCAGGTTCTTGTGATGACTGACAAAAAACGTGGGTCGGGCAGATGGGTCGGGAAATTTGATGGTGAACGTACCCACGTTTTTTGTCAGTCATCACAAGAACCTGCACAGCTCGAGGAAGCACAAAAGAAAAATTTATTTTCTACTTTTTAGTCCACAAGAAAAACGTGGTTTTTTAAAAAGTTTTTTTTAAGTATTTTATTTAAAACTTTAAGTATTTAAAATGGATTAAAAATCAAGTCTATAGCCCGAATTCCCATCCCCTGTTGTTTTATATAAGAATATTCGAGAAAGTTTAGGGGAGATCACTCCCGGTTTATTATACGATCAGTATTGGAACCGAACTTAAGACGTTCTTTGATCTCTAAACCCCGTCTCAATAATTATGACATTGTCCAACTATGATTTGTTTTTAACAATACGAGCCGACCCGCAGCGTATCATACGCCGCTATTTAGTTGTTTTATTTTCTACTTTTCAGTAATTCATAATTTGTAAATTCGACAGTACCAATGCTGCCACTGAAAATATTTGCTTTAAAACACTAACCCCCCCCCCCCCACTTTCCCCTAACCCCGACCCCACACCCCCCCCCCCCCCCCCCCCCCCGTGAAAGCAGCCTCCTCTTAGTTATTTCTTAGTTACCTCCTGTAAGTTTAAAATCGAACTAAATTATCTGCCCCTAATAGAAACCCGGCTGTACGGCTCTTCGATTTGTAAACATTTAGCTTTGTAAAAATTTAGAGTGAACACCGCTCACCAGACAATGTTGGGGTGGGGTGGGGGGGTGGTAGTGATAGTGATAGAGAGAAAGAGAGGGGACTGCAAGGAGGCGCTTGCAGCTTGTTTTCTAACTGATCCCAGAAGAGAATTATATATATAGATTGTCCTTAAATAACTATGACCTCATGTATTCGTGGTAAATTTTTAGAAAAATAACCATGATGTCATACACCATGTGTAGCTGCCAAATTGGACCCTATCTATTAATAAAAATTATACTTATTGTCTCGTGTATATAAATAGCAATGACGTAATGTGCTATGCCATATATGTATGAATAGCTACAACACAGCAATGACATAAAGAATAACTTCAAGGTTCTATAAATAACCATGACGTCATTGCACATCCCAGGTGTCAACTACCAGATATCCTGCGCGAGCCAGAACTTTAAAGAGACGTCATGCTTCGTGCAGGGGACCATCAAGTTGGTGACCCTCAGGACACAGGTGTCGGGCACGCCCTGTACCCTCAACCTGACCTATCGCTACCAAGGGAGCTACCTTATTGTTTACGGCGGGTGCAGGGGCGTCTTCAACGTGGGGGTGTATTAGATAGTAGAGAGTTGGGGCGTTTTCGACGTGGGGGGTATTAGATTGTGGAGGCAGGGGCGTTTTCAACGTGGGGGGGGGGGGGGGGTATTAGATATTGGTGGCTAGGGCTGGGGGCGTTTTCAACGTCGGGGTTGATTAGAATGTGGCGGCAGGGGCGTTTTCAACGTGGGGGTGTATTAGACTGTGGAGGCAGGGGCGTTTTCAACGTGGGGGTATTAGATGGTGTTGGGGGGGGGGCGGGGAAGGGGAGTTTTCAACGTGAGGTGGTATTAGATAATGGGGCTGGGGCGTTTTCAACGTGGGGGTGTATTAGATGGTGGCGGCTGGGGCGTTTTCAACGTGGGGGTGTATTAGATGGCGGGGGGGGGGAGGGAACAGAGGAGTTTTCAACGTGTGGGTGTATTAGATAATGGGGGCTGGGGCGTTTTCAACGTGGGGGGGGGGTAACATTATATATAAAAGACGTATATAATAGTTTTAAAAGTATTTTGAAGATTTTTTATAACTCTTATTTAAATAAGAAACGAATAAATATAATTAATATCGAATTCTTCTCTTAGTGTTCACTTTGTTAAACTCTCATTACAAAGTTTAAAGGACCAGGGTTCAATTTTGTGTCTTGGAAAATTTTGGAAGGATAGATCAGTATGAGTATTACAGAGACCCTTTTCCCACGGTCCTTCTTTTTTTATTCTGGTAATGGGTGGCTACAATGTGAACTTTTGAGTTCGCAGCTGAGGATGGAGCACAGTAAACTAAGCAGTCAAAAGAAACCGAGTTGCACACCCTATTTTAGTCTAGTTCTTATGCGATTTTACTTTCTCCATTTAATTACTATATATATGCAATTGATGTTCATGTCTTTGAAACTGTGTAAAACTACCAAATAAATTATTATTATTATTTTAAATTATTTTTAAATTATTTTAAATGTTTAAAATAAACAATTAACAAAAAACTTTAGGATGACTGCTATAGATATAGATGTTTGAAAAGGAAGAATGTTTATTTAGTGTGTCTCATTGCACTCAACATAACATTCCGGTTGCTTAAAATTTTTATAATTTTATTTTTCATTAATCCCAAATTTACTTCAACTCTACTTAAAAGCCCAAACCCCGTCAGCTCACCACGCCAATGGAAGAAAAAATCCCTTCAAAAACTTCTTTGCAGTCTTTTGTATGAGTGTGTGTGTATGAGTGTGTGTGTGTGTGTGTGTGCGCGCTTGTGTGTGCGTGTGTGTGCGCGCTTGTGTGTGCGTATGTAAACATCATAACTTGAATACCGTTTCAGTAAGGTTGACGAAATTTCCGGTAACTGGAAGTGATAGATACTCTACTTCCTGCATCTCAAAGCCGATAACTTGAGTACCATTAACGTTAGAAAGGAACAAAATAACGCAAATACTATTACAGGAAGATATTAATTATTAAAAAATATTTTTAAAAAACGTATACAAACACAATGAATAATTGAGTTTGTGACTGAACTAGGCCTTACAAATTTTGTTTCATAAAATTATTTCTCTCTTTGCAATGGAAAAGATTAAATTAGGATATAATTTTATTAAAAAATAATATTCAGCTTTTTTATTTCATGTTGTCAACTAGAGTAGCTTCCCTTTATTGCTTTCTGTAATGCCAGCACATAGTTTTAAGCTTTTACAAGCAAATATTCATTTAATTAAAAATAGCATTCTATTGAGTGTAGTAATACACAATTTATTGTTTATTAATATAATTATAACTTTAAAAAACTATTTATTTAGAAAAGATAGTTTAACATAAATAAAATATTTTGAAAAAAACTTTTCAAGAAAACTATGAGAAATATCATTGCCCCGTAATAAAAAAATAATTTTCTTCGAATTTAATACAGTGCTAGTGAATGTGTTATATCGATATTCTTTAACCAATCCTATGAAATAAAATTAATAAGTTAAAAAAATAGAAAAAGAAAGGAAGGATGAAAAGAACAATCCTAAAAGAAATGTATAATAATACTTTTGAACCAAGTTTGATTATAGTTTGATACTAAAGCACACAAGCATAAATGTTGATGAGCTTGTTGTATTGGAGAATAACATATTGTAAAAAAATAAAAAATAAAAACAACCCACAAATTTATGTCATTTTTTTTAACTTGTCATTGTATCGGCCTATAATGATTATGCCCTAATGTTTTCATTAAATTTATTTTTGTTTGTATTTTAACACACTCACACAAACAACACTTTAACATAATATCTTTCAAAACTTTAACAACATAAAATTTATCGTCATTTTTCATTACATTAGATTACCAAAACACCAATGTTCTTTGCTAAACATTGAACAACAGTAATCTCATTAGCTAAAACATCAATGGTTAGCAAACCTAATTGGTTGCATATAGCATTGGCGTAGCCAGGAACGTCTCAAGGGGGGGGGGGTCCAATTTTTAACCGGGGACAAACTTTCGATTTGCACCCCCCCCCCTCAGACTTTTGATTTGCACACCCCCCTCCCACCCCCCGCCCCCTCAAACTTTCGATTTGCACCCCCAACCCCCCCCCCTGCCTACGTCACTGGCATATATATCTATTTTAGATAACCTATATCTACTCTCGGTAGAAATCATCTAATTTCAAATCTACACAATTTCCACACGTCATCCTTTCGTGACGTAATAAGTTATTTTTAAACTCCTCTAAAAATAACTCGCGGCACATCTGCCGATGTTTGGTGTACACTGTTGAAAGCTGGGTAAACAAAACGTCAAGATTAAATAGTTGGATAAGTGACATTTCTAGTCTAAGGGAGGCAAACACATTTTTTTACATCCTATTTCAAATTAACTTCTCTTAGCTTGTGTATAGTGCTAGTAAAATATATCATACACATATGATCTATGAGTTATTATTGCCCTATAGATTTGTTTTACCTTGCCTAACTCTTGGATATGGGGGGGTAGAGGGTACTAGTTAAAGCTGAGTAGACCTTGGTACCATTTTCGTTACGTCTCAAACGAGAACCCTTCAAATTCTATGTCGCGCAACTTGTAATCAGAAAATTAAAAAAGATGAATGGGTATCACAAAAAAGCCACCCCCCCCCCCCTTTTCGGCACCCCCCCCCCTTCCTACGTCACCCCCAGTTCAAAATTTTCAACCACGGTATGTTATAATAGAACAATTAAGTTAGAAAAAGACAAGCTATACATAAGGTAGTTATGAACCAGATGTGTAGCGAGGGGGGGGGGGGGAGGGAGGGACATATGTCCCCGGGCGCAGACCTTAGGGGGGCGCCAAATTGAAAGTTTGAGTGGGGGGGGGGGGGTGCAAATGAAAAGTTCGAGGGTGGGGGTGAAAATCGAAAGTTTGTCCCCGGACGCCAGGAAGGGTTGCTACGCCTCTGTTATGAACACATATTTAAAAGACAACATGAGCACTTAACAAAATGCCCATACATTTACGAAATAATAATGTAAAACACATCCAATTGTGTACACTTTTATTTTATTTTAATTACAGCTGTATAACATAATTCGTTCTTATTTTTTCAGTACACTTACATCCAAAATGCAATAATTCAAAAGACAGGAATAAAATAATATGCATTTATAGTTAGCCTACTTATGAAAACAATTCCTAAAAGTGATTATCTTATACAGAGTGTAATATATATATATATATATATATATATATATATATATATATATATATATATATATATATATATATATATAATTATATACATACATATATATACATATATATATATATATATATATATAATTATATACATACATATATATACATATATATATATATATATATATATATATATATATATATATATATATATATATATATATATATATATATATATATATATATATATATATATATATCACTTTGTCGAAACAAATCACAAACGACAAACTCCTGTTTGTTTTATCTATGATTTTGTTTGGCTATGCTTACAGACGTAATTGTAAATGCATACGGTAAATTTTAAAACATGGTTGAAACACTCCTGTATGTAGAGTTGAACATGTTGAAAACTGAAAGGGTATGTTCAACATACTATGTAAAGAGTTGAAATCTATGATGTTATGTTGATCATAATGTGTTGAAAAATCCGCATATTTTATCACCATGCTGAAACTTTAATCTCTTATTCAACTGATCGTTGAGTTGAGCATTTTGAAAACTGGGTGTTAGGTTCAAGATGTTGAAAAATGAGTGTGTTGATCAGTATGTTGAAAACATGGATGGTTTAATCAACATGTTTAAAACCAGGATGTTTTTTATCAACATGTTGAAAAACCTAGGTGTTTTAATCAACTTGTTAAAAAGCTTGATGTTATGTTCAACATATTAAAACCCTGCATGTTTTAATCGATAAATTGAAAGTCTAGATGTTGTGTCAACTTGTTGAAAACCAGGGTGCTTTATCAACATGTTGAAAACCAGTATGTTATGTTCAACAGGCTGAAAAGCTTGATGGTGTATTCAACATGTTGAAAACCTGGATATTTCGCTCTAAATGTTGAAAATGTTGAAAACCTTGATGTTGTGTTAATCAAATTGAAACCTGGATATTTTAATCAAGATGTTATAAACTAGGATTATTTAATAACATGTTGAAAACCTGGATGGTTTGTTCACCATATTTAACACAAGTATGATTTTTGTCAACATGTTGATAAGCCTGATGTAGTGTTCAACATGTTGAAAACAAGGATGTGGTATACAACATGTTGAAGACCTTAATGTTGTGTTCAACATATTGTAAAGCTTGGGTGTTCAACATGTTGAAAACCTGTTTATTTTTTATCAACATGTTAAAAAGCATGAGTGTTCAACCTGTTGAAAACCTGGGTATCTTTTATCAACATGTTGAAAAGTTTGAGTTTTCAACATGTTGAAAACCTTAATATTGTGTTCAACATGTTGAAAACTTGGGTATCTTTTATCAACATGTTAAAAAGCTTGAGTGTTCAACATGTTGAAAAGCTTGAGTGTTCAACATGTTGAAAACCTGGGTATCTTTTATCAACATGTTAAAAAGCTTGATGTAGTGTTCAACATGTTGAAAACCTGGGTATCTTTTATCAACATGTTAAAAAGCTTGATGTAGTGTTCAACATGTTGAAAACCTGGGTATCTTTTATCAACATGTTGAAAAGCATGCGTGTTCAACATGTTGAAAAGCTTGAGTGTTTAACATGTTGAAAAGCTGGGTATCTTTTATCAACATGTTGAAAAGCTTGAGTGTTTAACATGTTGAAAAGCTGGGTATCTTTTATCAACATGTTGAAAAGTTTGAGTGTTCAATATGTTGAAAACCTGGGTATCTTTTATCAACATGTTGAAAAGCTTGATGTAGTGTTCAACATGTTGAAAACCTGGGTATCTTTTATCAACATGTTGAAAAGTTTGAGTGTTCAACATGTTGAAAAGCTTGAGTGTTCAACATGTTGAAAAGCTTGATGTTGTGTTCAACATGTTGAAAACCTGGGTATCTTTTATCAACATGTTGAAAAGTTTGAGTGTTCAACATGTTGAAAAGCTTGAGTGTTCAACATGTTGAAAAGTTTGAGTGTTCAACATGTTGAAAACCTTAATTTTGTGTTTAACTTGTTGAAAAGCTTGAGTGTTCAACATGTTGAAAACCGCCGTGACGCGATGTTCAAGCGGGTCAAGCCGACATGTTTCAGGGGCGTGTCCAGCAGGGCGGCCTTGGGAAGGTCAAGGACGTTCGAGAACTCGTACAGCTCCTCAAGGTCGTAGCGAACTTTGTCCAGTAGGTCACGATGCATCTGGTAGAAGGAGTGGACATTGGCAGAATTAGACAAAAAGTTAATGAAGTCAGTAATGTGTCTATATGCTTGTAGTGTTAAGTCAGTGTTTAGTCAGTAATGTGTCTATATGCTTGTAGTGTTAAGTCAGTGTTAAGTAAGTAATGTGTCTATATGCTTGTAGTGTTAAGTCAGTGTTAAGTCAGTAATGTGTCTATATGCTTGTAGTGTTAAGTCAGTGTTAAGTCAGTAATGTGTCTATATGCTTGTAGTGTTAAGTCAGTGTTAAGTCAGAAATGTGTCTATATGCTTGTAGTGTTAAGTCATTGTTAAGTCAGTAATGTGTCTTTATGCTGGTAGTGTTAAGTCAGTGTTAAGGAAGTAATGTGTCTATATGCTGGTAGTGTTAAGTCAGTGTTAAGTCAGTAATGTGTCTATATGCTGGTAGTGTTAAGTCAGTGTTAAGTCAGTAATGTGTCTATGTGTTGGTAGTGTTAAGTCAGTCTTAAGTCAGTAATGTGTCTATATGTTGGTAGTGTTAAGTCAGTGTTAAGTCAGTAATGTGTCTATATGTTGGTAGTGTTAAGTCAGTGTTAAGTCAGTAATGTGTCTATATGCTTGTAGTGTTAAGTCAGTGTTAAGTCAGTAATGTGTCTATATGCTGGTAGTGTTAAGTCAGTGTTAAGTTAGTAATGTGTCTATAGGTATGTAGTTTTTCGTCAAAATACATATGTATATTTAGTAGGTAATGTGATGTCAATTAATTATCTTTGATAGGAAGTCTAGTATGTTTTTTCTATCGGAGGGTATAGTTGATTTTTCTATTTAGTGTTGTTTGTTATTAATACAATTTAAAGTAGAAACAAAACTATACAAGAGCTATATTATTATTAAACGTACATTTTCATAAACATCCACCCTCCCATTTAGGAAAAAAGTTATGTCAGGAACATTTATTAAAACATCGCTTATATCATCTACATTAGAAACAAAAGTATCACTCTTTTTTATATGTTTTTAAATTTTTAAATTTGTATATATATATATATATATATATATATATATATATATATATATATATATATATATATATATATATATATATATATCTAATATATAAAGCTCAGTTCTGTATGTAAAAATACGTATGTTTGTCGTTGACATACTTCGATGGATTAAAGTGTTAGATAATTAAAGTCCTTACGGTCTAAATTTATGAGTTAGAAAGTTAATATTGAAAGTTTTGGGAAATAATTTTCATTTATCAAACTGAAAGTAATAATTTTTGGCATGTTCATTAAACACAAGTTTTAAAAAAAAATATCATCTTTTACAAAAATTCTAATTATGTTTTTATTTAGTCCTATAGCATTTACTTCCCTTTGATAAATTAGGAAAACACAATTACTTCCCTTTATAAAACCATTGCATTATTGGAAAAGAATTTACTTATTACTTTGTTTTGGTGTTGGGAAAAAAAAATTACATAATTAGCGGGGATTGATCAAGTGCAAATGTTGTAGGTATTTTACGGATAAGCTTGGAGTATTATAATTGTTCATTAAATTGAAACAGGCGCTTTCGTTTAAGTGAGTGCAAAAGACTATGAATAAGTTGGGGTACTATAGTCGTTCATTAAGCTAAAACAGGTGATTCCGCCCCGGGCGTTTATGTTCGCGTTAGTGTTTTCTTTGTGTTTAGGTTGGGTTTGCGTTAGTGGTTGCGGTTTGATTTGGTTTGTTTTTGTTCTTTCTGTTTTTGTTTGTGTTTTTTTCTTTGGATTTGTATTTGTGTTTTTGGTTGGTTTTGCGTTTGGATTTGGTTTGTTTTCGTTTGCTTTATCGTTTTTTGTGTGTGTTGGTATTGGTGTTTGTGGTTGTGGTTGGGTTTGTTGTTAGGTTTTTGTTTTTGTTTGCTTTTTTGTTTGTTTTTTCTTTGTGTTTGTATTGGTGTTTGTGGTTGTGGTTGGGTTTGTTGTTAGGTTTTTGTTTTTATTTGTATTTGTAATTGTGTTAGCGTTATGTTTGCGTTTTGTTGTTTTGGTTTTGGTTGGTTGTGGTTTGGGTGGGCAATGCCGGGTTTATGATGATTACTAAACACACAGGTAATGGTCTTTAACAGAAAGGTTTTTCACAGAAGCCAGAGCAGGGCCTGGCCGGGACGGCTAGTATATATATATATATATATATATATATATATATATATATATATATATATATATATATATATATATACGTAATTAAAAGAAAAATTATTTACTCCCATTTTTGTGATATTCTTTCTAAATTGGCGATCATAATTGGAAATTATTCCCGAATTCTCTGAGGTGAAATGTTTGACCTACTCTAAGGTGAAAAGTTTAACCTCTGAGGTGAAATTTGACCTTCTGTAAGATGAAATGTTTGACCTTCTCTGGGGTGAAATGTTTGACTTTCTCTGTGAAATGTTTGACCTTCTCTGTGATGAAATGTTTGACCTCTCAGGTGAAATGTTTGACCTTCTGTGAGGTGAAATGTTTGACCTTCTGTGAAGTGAAATGTTTGACCTTCTCTGAGGGGAAATGTTTGACCTCTGAGGTAAAAATTTAACCTTCTGTGAGGTGAAATGTTTGACCTCCTCTAAGGTGAAAAGTTTAACCTCTGAGGTGAAATTTTGACCTTCTGTGAGGTCAAACATTTGACCTTCTCTGAGGTGAAACATTTGACCTTCTCTGAGGTAAAAATTTGACCTTCTGTGAGGTGAACCATAAAGCTCTCACCTGACAAGACCATGACAAACGAACTTTGTGAATCTCCTTGTACAGCTTGAGGAACTGTCTGGCCAGGATTTGATCCTGGGACCTCATCGTCTGCTGTTAACAAAAGAACATTCAGAACGACAGTGCTAAATAATATATTTATTTTTGTTTACTTAAACTATTGTACATTACATGCGTTAACGTATTATTTTTTTACGAGCTGACCCGCGACGTAGCATACGCTGCCATCAAGTTTTTTTTTAATTTTCTGCTTATCAGCAATTCATAATTTGTGAATTTAACACTACCCCCTCCCGCCCTCCCTCTCGCCCAGTGAAAGCAGCCGTTTACAATGAAATGATCAATCAGAACGGGTCGTTTAATACTAAATTATATGCCCCTATTAGCAGTCACTAACCCGGCTCTACGATTGTAAACATTCGGGGTGAACCAAAGCTCATCATGTTGGTGGGGGTGGTAGCGATTTACCTGGAGAGCGGGGGAGTAAGGGCGTGCGTCTACATCTTGTCCTGCACGGTCCCAATGAAGAGAATTATACATATAGATAGTGCTAAGCTTTAGGACCAAACATTTTGAGTTAAAACTTCATGATATATTATGTTGCGGTTTGAAATTTACATTCACCAACGATTGAAAAATGTTATATTTTGGGGTGCAAAAATCCAGCGATGTGGTATTGGTGGATATACACGAAGAAGAATATCATTTTAGCTGTGGCGTTACACAGGGCAGTTGAAGTAGAGGCCATCAGTTTCTTTGACCTCGGCATGTACAATGATGGCGATGTTAACACTAAAAGTTATAGACTTTACTTTACCCATCAAAGATTTAGAAGATGCTGGAAACACATACGACCTCAATCCCGGGAATTGAACTTTTAACTTTTTGGGTCGTTATCGAGTACTTCGTTCACGTAAACTAGTTTAACACAATTTTAACCTCATTTTACACACATTTTTAACAATTTTTGCACACAAACAGGACACGTAATATATTACACACATTTGACACATATTTTACACCATATTCACACACACTTTACTCAAATTGTTCTCATATTTTACACATTTACACATATTTCACACCAAGATTTTACTCTTATGTTACAAATTAAGCCCCCGACATGAACAACTCACCAATTCAAATTTAAGTTTATCCAACGTCTTGTTGATTCGCTGTTTCCTCTCTGGCGTAAAAGCCCTAAATCCAGCCCCCTCCACCTCAACTGAAACACAAGGCACCTGCCCACACGCAGACTGTAGAAAATCGTCTGTCTGCCTGTTGAAACTATCACTACTTTCTATTTGATTTACCGAACTCGTTTCTGAATTAAACAGTAAAGGGAGGTGACTGCTTGGATTTTCATCTAACCAGGCGAGGTAACTCGCACGTCGAGTTGGAAGTTGAAGTCTTCTTGCTATGAGTTTGAGTTTTTCTAAGTCTGTATTTACTTCCAAAACGCTACTCCGTAACTCGCTGACATCGGGTGTGAGAGCTGGGGTTTTCTTGAACGTCCGCGCATTGAACGACACGGTGGTCATGTTGGGTTGAGAGATTTGTCTGAAGACAGTTCGTCTGGTCTTGGAGAGAAAGAAGTTCTTGCAATCGACGCTGTAAGGTGGGTGTTGTGGAATGTCAGATCCTGGTTCTTCAGGGGAGACTAGCGTGGAGGTGGAACCGGATTTTAGTTTCATTAATGATGCAGAACAAACGTTTTGGGACTCTAAAGGGGATAAGTTGGCGGATGTAATTTCATCTGAAAGTCTAGAACTGTGTTTAGGGGAGATAATTGCATCAGTATTAGTCGAGACGAAAGATTTAAGTATATTTTCAGGAGAAGAAATCTCATCTAGATTGGAAGAATCACCAGATACGCATATACCACTGGTATTAAAATTGTGGTTACAATCTGCGTTAAGATCAACAGAAGTACGTCCGCTACTGCTGGAAGAATCCAGTGTTCCAGGCATGGGATTAACTGTGGATTCAATTTCCGAGAACGTTTCCTGAACAACTGGTTTAATTATTAATTCCTTTATGACCTTGCTAGATCTGTCATCATCAACAACATTAGAAGTGGCCGTGTTTATAGCTTGATTAACGTAGGTAGATTCGAAAATCTCGATGCTTGGAATGAACTGATGGCTTGAAGGCATCTCTTCGTAAGAACTTGACAAGGGAGTTTCTTGCGGGCGGGTCTCTGTATTAGACTCGAATGAAGACAGTTCCGTGTTTATAACGGAAATGGTACCATCCGATGCTAGAAAAAATAAAGTCCGTTGTTCTATTTCCGGCGAGTCTGACGGATGTGGTGTGATGCTGACGTCAGCGGTTATTTTTAGGGTTGTTAGAGCAGACATGTCTGGTGGTTCTATACTCGTCTGGGGTTGTTCTATGGAACAATCTTCAATGATAATTTCCAGAACGTCTTCTGTCGTCTGCTGTGGTTTTTCGTGTTGTTCTATTTCGCTAAACACAACTATTTCCGGTATTGTTTCTTCTGATTTATTTATAGAATTCTCAATGGACGGTTGTTTTAATGTGGTAGAAGGATTTATAGACGGCCAAGTATCACAGGTAAGGGAAGAAGATTGTTGCTCAATCAAAGGATTGGTTATTGAGTTATCACTGGACGGCCAAACTTCAGTATTACATTCAAGCGGTTGATATAGAGCATCAGTAAAAGGCCACAAGTTGGTAGTACCATCGGGGAGTTTTTTGGATTTGTGCATTGTTTCATCATCGAAAGATTCAGTAATTGTCAATATAGCTGTTTCCTCACATACAGGTAGAGTAGACACCTGAGTTAGTGTATTGGGGGATGCGGTATACGGTTGAGTAATCTCATCACTCGTAGGGCAAGCAATGGACGGTACAGTTGACGTGTTACATTCTAAACTTTCAGTTGACGGCCTTACTTTGGTATCATTTGAGGATTCAATAGATATCTGTTTAGTTTCTGTTCCTTGTCTTGTCAATTTTAAATTTTCTTTCGTTGAACTTTGACCTATCGATGATGACGTACTTCCTGTCTTCGTGTTTCCCGAGACATATTTTTTCTCTTTCTGTGAACTTCCACTTTTCTTCTGTCCCTCTGTCTTGGCGTTCCTGTCCCGTCCAAGAAAGGACAAGAGCCTCTCTTTGACGCAAACATTGGCTCTAAGAGAACGACCTTCTTTCGTCTGCACAAAGTTATGAAACATGGCCGCTAGGTAACGGAACACCTCCTTGCACATGCGCCGTGGGTGGGCAAGTGTTACATCTCGGGCTTGACCCTGGAGTTACCCTAATTCGATAATTTGTCTACCTTAATGAACAGGTGTGGTTTTAATTGAGCATTACGATTCAGTTTCCTGAGCTGCTTCTCATTAAGACAGTAATTTGTTCGTAATTTAAGAATTGTTGCGCTCAGTTCCAGTATTTTTCCACCGCTACCTAGAGTTAGAAAAAAAAAGTTATTATTCAACAATGAGCACTTAAAGCGAAATTAAAGTTTGTAATTAATGTTAGCTTTTAATGTATATTAGGTAATTTATTTTAAAAGCAAATGATCGCGCATAGTAATGCCGTAAAGACATAGTTTACGATTCTTTTGAATGACACTTTTGCTACAGCAAAAGCTTTTTGCAATATTGCCTTGCGACTTTAAAAAGTCGGAAAATTTCAGTTTGATGCGTTAGATATAAAATGATAGAAGTCTGGCACCAAAACGTGCGCACTGGTCATTGAGCACTCTTAATGTGCCAAACAGATGCACGCCTAATGAATGTGATGCGAAGTATCCAACTATTATGCCTGATGTTTGGTTTTAATCGCACCAACCCTAGCACAACAAGGGTCTGTGTGGTCGAGTCTGTAAAGCTCGCGTATTTTTAACCGAAGGGTCCCGAGTTCGAACTCCCGATAGCAAGGGACAGCAACCCATCTAGGAGAGACAACTCCAAATCACACAACTACTGGCTTGTTTGTTTTTGGACGGACAAAGGCTTTGAAAGCAAATCCATGAAAAAAAAAGCAAGCTGATGGAGCCAACGGCCTATACACAGAATAGCAGGTTGACACGTAATACTTAAATTAATTGGCAGGTGTTCCCGTCCAACATTACAATTAAGAACAAAGACGAGAACAACCCTAGCACCATCGCTGTAAATTATCCAGTGTTGTTCACACTGTATTTCACCTCTTACACACGTCTATTCTTATGGCAGTCTAGTAGTGCCATTGTGTTCTTTTTGAACTAATCCGTTTTATCATTTTATTTTGACAGACCCCATTTTAGTGCTCGCCTACGAATGTTGTACGCTAGATTATTCATATACGCTCTATCTTCGCCTGTGTTTTTATAACTGTATATACAATTTACTCCCTGTTGTTTCATTAATATAAGACCTGTCAGTCTCCTGCGGTTTTGTACATACACTGTTCGCTCTACATATTCTTCTAGTCAGAGTATGATAATAATTCTCCTATTGCATATGAAGCAGCATCTGTTGCCTCAACACCCACTTGCCTTGAAATATCATCTACTATATCCACTGTACTCTAAAAGTTTTAAATCAACAATGATTTATTATAAATTCATTAATAATTAGATAATTATATATGTATAAATATAAACTAAATTTCTCTTTCTGGTGGAAAAATACCGCGCCCGATATAAAACGAATACAGATTTTCAGAATATAATTACAGCAACACAAAAAAGGCGCAACTTCAAAATAGGATGACGCAAACAGATCACTGAGAGCAGGAGTCAAGAGTCGAAGAGTCATCAACTTTCCCAAGATGTAACAGCAATCAACTGAAAAATGTTATAAAATCTTATCTTTTTTTCTTTTTACAGAAATAAAAACAGCATTTAGCTTTTGATGAAAACTCCGTGCTATCCAAATAGCTCGTGATAAGATTTTTTTAACTCCCCAGTAAAACATACTTCTGTTTGATTGAGATTGTAAAATGTGTTTACGATATTCTAAATAACAGCAGGGGTTAGTCTTGGTTGCTAGAAAAGGGGTTAAAGTGATGTAATTAATTAATTAAGCTTGGTCTTAGACCAGATGTTAGTAGACCCAGGGACGGTGTCATCATTTACATTACACTTCCTAGTGTTCAAAATAACAAAACACATTTCCCAGTGTTCAATATAACAAAACACATTTCGCAAGTACAAATTTCAGAATTTCGTTACACCAGTTCAAAAGCCACCATGATCCTATATTGTTAGTCTCACATTATTTTTTATATATATATCAGTTTAATTATTTACAAGCGATTTAAAAAAAAATTGTTAGTCTCACATTTTTTTTTATACAAATTTTTATATAACAATCTCACATTTTTTTTTTTTTTTTTTTTTTAAATACTTTTATTTGCAATTTAAAACAAGTACATCAACATCAAATTCTTACATAATTTCGAACATCAAATGAAAACGAAATAGTAATACAATATATTAAAATATATTACAATAGTAATATTTCTTTCTTACTTGTAGCCTGCTTTCATTCATTTAAGATGGTTTACATATACATAGATGTAATACAAAACGTCTAAATATAAAGAAAAATTAAAAATTAAAAACCAACCTGAAACTGAAAATGCAAATGTGTAATTAAAATTAAATGATGATTCAAGGGATTTTTTTTTTCTCGGCGTGGTGGGCTGAGGGGACGAAGGGGGGAGAGGGGAAATTTGTTTTTTTTTAAAGTAGAGCTGAAATGAATTTGGGATTACAGAGAATTAAAATGATACAAATTTTAAGCAATCGGGAAAGTTATGTTATTACAATGAGACACGTAAAAGCAAACACTCTTCCCTTTCAAACATCTATATCTATACAGTCCTCAATTAGTTTTTTTTTCCTTTTTATTTTTTTTTGTTTTGTTTTATTAATTCAATTGTTTTAAACCTTTAAATCAGTAATAATTATTTATTTGATAGATTTTACACAGCATCAAAGACATGAACATCAATTGCATATATAATAATCAAATGGAGAAAATAAAATGGCATAAGAACTAGACTAAAATAAGGTGTGCAAACTAGGTTTCTCTTGACTGCTTAGTTTACTGTGCTTTGTCCTTAGCTGAGGAGTCAAAAGTTCACATTGTAGCCGCCCATGGACAGAAATAGAAACGACCTTGGGAGAAGTGTCTCTGCAGTACACATACTGATCCATCATTCCAAAACTTTCCATGACATAAAATTGACCCTTGGCAAAGAGGTCACGCTACCTTGAAAAATCCGCCAGTCCGGTTGAGTGGGGGGAAGTGTGTGTGTGTGTGTGGGGGGGGGGGGATGAGGTGTGTATCTCTTTCTACCATTCAGGTTGTGCACTTTTAAAAACCTGGGAAACAGAAGACTGTTCTAATGTTAATTTACTTGAGGGCTGATCGAGTGATGTTTAGCTTGAGACTGTCGAAGAAAAAACAACTAATACCTAACACAAAATCTAAACAATTATAAGCTACTTTTGAGTACAATACAACATAGTGTGCGCATATTAATTTTTAAAGGAACATTTTTTAAAAGACAGACATGCTAGTGTTTAAATATGTTCAACATCATTAACTGGTTTTATTTTACTGATCGTCCATAAACAAATTCATTATATTTAAACTTAATTTAAAACACATTATTTATAATGCAAATAAAATGTGTCATCACACTTTGTTACCTCCCTGTCCTTCTTCATGTATCCCTTCCACTCTGTACGCAACATCATTTACAGACATCACTAAACATGATGGTAATATCTTAATTAAGCATTGTCTAAAAATAATTCACGCGTACAAACAATGCTTTTTTTCTACCATAGCTCGAAGGATGTTGTATTAATAAATGCTAATTAGGAGGCCTATAAAACAATAATTACATCACCTAGAAATTAATAATTTCTTGCTAATTAATTATTTCTAATAATAAGAATAATACGAGCCAACTACAATATGTTTAATTATGTATCAAATAACCCGTCTATACGCCTTATAGTGTACGAACACATGTATTATATTTCCAGTTACACAAACAAAGATATTAAGATATAACCGAAACACATTTTTTTTTTGTTCTATTCAAAATCCTACTTGGATAATTGTCAACATTTTTAATGTGTTTTTTTTTTTTATCTCACCTAAGTTAATTTATGTTGGTAAATAACTCTTCGACATGTCAAGTTTTTTTATTAACGACGCGTGATTGTAGAGGGAGGGAACAATGCAGATGATTTATAGATAGGCAGGTACGGGACTAGAGCCAGGTACCGCGCACAATGGATGGGGTTTTTTGGCTACTGGTTGTACGACAGGGGTTCTCAAAAGGAAGGGGGAGGGGCTCTCAGGGTAGGGTGTTATTAGGCCAGGATGGTAGCAGGGTCATGATGGTACTAGGGGCAGGATGGTACGAAGGCAGGATGGTACCAGGGTAGGATGGTGCTAGGGGCAGGATGGTACCAGGGCGGGATGGTACTAGGGTAGGATGGTACAAGGGCGGGATGGTACTAGGGTAGGATGGTACAAGGGTAGGATGGTACTAGGGTAGGATGGTACAAGGGGCTGTGTGGTACTAGGGTAGGAGGGTACCAGAGAAAGGATGGTACTAGGGTAGGATGGTACAAGGGGAGGATGGTACTAGGGTAGGATGGTACAAGGGCGGGATGGTACTAGGGTAGGATGGTACCAGAGGAAGGATGGTACTAGGTTAGGGTGGTACCAGAGGAAGGATGGTACTAGGGTAGGATGGTACAAGGGCGGGATGGTACTAGGGTAGGATGGTACTAGGGTAGGATGGTACAAGGGCGGGATGGTACTAGGGTAGGATGGTACCAGAGGAAGGATGGTACAAGGGGCTGTGTGGTACTAGGGTAGGATGGTACTAGGGTATGATGGTACCAGGCCAGGATGGTACAAGGGTAGGATAGTACTAGAGTAGGATGGTACTAGGGGCAGGATGGTACCAGGGGCTGTGTGGTACTAGGATATATATATATATATATATATATATATATATATATATATATATATATATATATATATATATATATATATATATATATATATATATATATATATATATATATATATATATATATATATATATATATATATATATATATATATATATATATTTATATATATAAATGTTAATTGGGTAGACGCCTAGATGAGTACTGTATATAAGGGTGGCAAAGTAACAAGAAGTCTGGAGCCCGCTGATGCACGGTAAACCTGCTTTTTATTTCTGTCTTGTGATGAGAAGTTGGGTGCTTGAAGGTTTCTTGCAGGTAAGAGTGCGGGTATCACGTGATTCGCTCACCTTTGTAATTGAGAGCCTTGAGTCGGCGGTAGGGTGAGGGGGGGCGGGTTGTAGGCGGGTTTCTTTTTTTGTTTATGTTGTGCCTCAGTGCTTAGATGACGTATGATGTTGTCTGCGCTACGTATGATGTATGTGTGTTGTGTGTGCTACAGTCCTTAAGTGTGCTAGTGTGTCAAAGTCAAAGTGTCGCAATGTATGTGTATATGGTACAGGTAAACCTACTCGTATGTACAAACGTATTATAAGCTTAGAACTTAACTAATGTATGTGTATCTTAGTTCTACGTTATATTTATGACCTACCGCTGTATGGAGTGATTGTAAGGTCAGCACTATGCCCATCCGCCTTTACTTTCCATAACATGAGTATGATGGCGCAAGTTTACATTAGGTACCTATCAGAGCTGATTTAACTCAGGGATGTCTAAGGGATTCGAGACAGGGATCCGAACTCAAAACCTTAGGTTATCTCAGTGGTGTAGCGAGGTCGGGTGTCACCCGGTGCGGCACTTAATGGTGCACCCCCCCCTCAAACTTTCGATTTGTACACCCCCCTCGAACTTTCGATTTGCACCCCCCCCCCTCAAGTTTTTCTCTATATATTTTGCTATTTTTTGCCTTGGTGTCACCCCCCTAAATGGTGTCACCCGGTGCGGTCCGCACCCCCCGCCCCCCCCCCTCGCTACGCCCCTGGGTTATCTCTAATGCACTGTATAATCCTTCTATGATTTACCATAATCACCTTAGTGCTGCGATCAATGTACGAGTAGGTTAGCGGTATATAAAATGTCTATTTAAATTAATTCAGCCCTTCAAGTATGATGGTTGTAGTACTGTATGGAAAATAAATTCAACGTAGTACCATATTTATTTATATAGTCAGAGGCGTCGCGGAGGGTGGGTGAGGCAGCCGTTCCGGACGTCGACACTAGGAGGGAGGGGTAAAAAGTGACGGGTAAAATGCACTCCCGACCTTTCCATGGGGCTTTTTCGCACATGTGAAAAAAAACTATACATAAATAGAGAAGATGCAACTTTGATAATTAGCACCAGGGATCAACATGGGTCGCTACGCCTCTGTAGGCCTACATGTTGCAACGTTGCTATGTGGCTTGGTGCTAACAGTGCTATAGTAATAGTATCATCCAATAAGATGATTGTAACATTCAGTACCCTGTAAAATCGTCACTGGATAGAAAAAACAACACAGCAGATAGACGCAGTGGCGTAGCGAGGTCGGGTGTCACCCGGTGCGGCACTTAATGGTGTCACCCCCCCCCCCCCCCAGAGGCGTAGCGACCCTTCGATTTGCACCCCCCCCCTTAATCGATTTGCACCCCCCGCCCTCAAGTTTTTCTCTATATATTTTGCTATTTTTTGCTTTGGTGTCACCCCCCCCCCCCTAATGGTGTCACCCGATGCGGTCCGCACCCCCCTAACCCCCCCTCCTCGCTACGCCTCTGGATAGACGACTTATGGGTAATCAGATACGACAAATGTTTTTCCCTATCAGTGTATCCAGCCAAATGTTCTGCATTGTATACTGTACTATGAGAAACCAAGGCCGGTAACTTGTTGATACAAGTTGTTTCCCTTTGCATGTAACTAACACGACCACATACCTAACATGTAGCACACAGAAACAATCATAAGCTCGTTTATTTATGTTTTGGCAAGGAAAGACAGGAATCGTCAGAACTACAATATAAGCTTTAATGTAGCTTCCAGAGTAGTTGTAGCAATAGTAGGTTGGTGTGATGATGTGGAAAAGACACATTTCATACAATCAACAATATAAACTTCAATGTAGCTTCCAGAGTAGTTGTAGCAATAGTAGGTTGTAGTGATGATGTGGAAAAGACACATTTCATACAATCAACAATACAAGCTTCAATGTAGCTTCCAGAGTAGTATAGGTAGGACGGCGTGGTCGCAACCCATTCCGGCGCCCGAGGCAAGCTATCAATTTAGCGCCCTCCCCCTTTAGTTATAAATAAAGTTCATGGAAATAGCGAAAACTCGCCCCCATCTCCAACCCATATGAAAGGTTCAGGGTGTTTCATCTCACTTGAAATCGAATCCATACGTTGTACATAAGTCTGTCTACTCTTTATGAGGACCTGAAGTGTCAAGGGAAGTAATGAGGATAGGATTCAAGGTTCAACAAATTGTATCTTATTATGGCTCGGTCTGAAAAATATGCACAACACACTACCCCTTCAGATTTCGAGGTAAGAGAAGTAGGCAAATTCTACTTCACCTGCCCCACAGACGTTTTGTTTGAAAGTTTATTTATGAATGCTAAGAACATGGTGTTACAGATCCCTTACATAAAATGGCATCACTAAAATGGGACATAAAAACCCAACCTTAAACATAAAAGCGATTGGCGGCCAGCCAGAGGTTTTCAGTTCGGACCTCCGTTCAGACTTGTGACTATAGGACGTCCTTGAGTCCACCCAGCTCTGATGGGTACCTGATTTACGTTAATAGAGTAAAGTTGGCTGGGCATAGTGCTAACCACACTATCCCTTGACTAGCTAGGTCTAAAGAAGAAATTTACTTACCCATAAAACGTAACAACTCTTCAAATCCCAGTACCCCGTACCTTATTCCATTATAGAAACCTCGCCAGTCTGCTTTAACAAATCACATAAAACATTTCGTAACATTTCTTAAATAAAATGGTTGCGCTTTAATTTTGTGTTTTAAAGAATTTGCAACCAATTTTTGTCAATTTACTTAACGATGATAAATAGACGAAAGGAGGAATAAAACAACAAAAAAAAATAAGGGACGGCAATGTTATTTATATTGCTTTATACAACCCTACATCATATATTATAATATAACAGAAATGCGTCCACCTTCCCTATAGTTTCATATATACAAGAACCCTTAGGGCAATAAAAAAAAATCGCGTTATGGTTAAATGTTGAATAGGCTTGGGTTCCTCTTACGAACTTAATTAATTAAGAAGAAAATTATTATTTTTAAATATATACTGTACCTTGAAAATTTTAGAAATTTCGTAAGTACCCGGATCACGTGACCACCACAGCAAGACAAAAAACCGGAAGTAAATCCAAGACAACCCATTCACACAAAAACCTTTCTCTGGCTTCGTCGTTTAAATAACAACAACCGCTTGCCAACCTGGCCAAATAGATCTGCGAAAAACCTGGCAACATTCAAGTATTTTTGGGAGGTTTTTTTTTCCCCTCTGGGTTTTATCTGGATTAGACGCGATTACAGTTTTCGTGAACCTGCCTAGTAGACTACTCGTTGCGAGACGGATGGAAGCATTAACGTTCCATTACTCGTTAACTCGAATCTTCTTCAACATTTAAATCCGGAGTTTTTTCCCCTTTTTTTTACCCCGTGTCAAGGGACAAGGGGGGCTACTCTGGGGTGATAATTTTATTCAGCGTGATTGCCCCTGTATTTGTTATTTACAGACTTTGAGTTATCTTACTTGGGCTTTTAATCTAGACGAGGGTGCAAATCTTAACCCCCCTCTCCCCCCCCCCCCCCCCCCCCCCCCGCACGATCTCAATCAGCACTTGAAATTTTCTATGGGGGAGAGTGTTCTAACATTTCCTAGGGCACACTTGTAAAAGTATATAAAAGTATATACTTTCTATAAAAATTCCATTTCTATGCCTGGATAAGTGCCCCCCCCCCAAGAAATTGAGCATAAAGTTTGGGGCAGGGGGGGGACTGATCCCAATCACCATCTACATGGCCATTAAAAAAACACTTCCACTATCATACTCACCGTTCCCCCCCCCCCCTCCACCGTTACTACAATTACTACCACCAACATCGTCATCCTCACCACAACAATATTTTAAAAACCCAGCAAAACAGAGCACAATGTTTAAAATTGAAGGTTAACTTACAACAGCTGGCATTTCTACATAAAAGTCTTCCTCGGAATAAACAACAGCACACAAAACGAATGTGCATAGAATTATGACGAGGTAGGGCGGGCGCCTAATAAAATAAAGGGGTAACTGCCTAAGTTTAGACAATGCTTTTTCCCCTCCCCTCATTCCCCCCTCCCCCAACCCTTCAATCCCCTCCCCTAACCACTCAATCCTTCCCCCACCCCTCAATCCCCTTCCCCCACCCCTTAAACCCCTTCTCCCACCCTCAATCCCCCTCCCCACCACTCAATCCCCTCCCCAACCTTACAATCCCCCTCCTCCACACCTCAATCCCCCTCACCCACCCCTTAACCCCCCCCCCCCACCTCCCCCACACACCACTACTCACATTTTTCCTGTTTATGTTTTCCTATTTTACCGCCATCTTGAATGAAGACAAATCTCAAAAGTCAGACTGCCATTGAGTTATAGTATGTGTATTTTAAAATCACGGTGAAACCTACAAATTTCACGATTAGCCCCCACCCCCTAGCACCCACCCACCCCATCAGCCTTCACCCTGCCATCCTGATAACAAACCGATTACCTAATGACGTCATAACTCACAGACGCCGGTGACATTATGACGTCACCCTTCACCCCGGGATAGTAAAATTCATTTGTTCCGTTTAATCACCGAAAAAAAAATCTTTTTTTTTTATAATCTTCTCATCTCAAAACGTCGTTTTTAAACCACACTCTCCGTGCATCGTTCATTGATTTCTGCAAAGCGGGGTAATTGGAGAGTGGGACTGCATTGTCTGTGAAGAGCTAAGAGTTACCGTTCATAATCTTTTCTTCTATTTCCGTTCGTGCCAAAGACACATGGGGCAGATGAAGTAGAGTTTATTCGTTTCAATTATCTCGGTGTACAAGAGGTTTAGTTTGCAGTACTACACCCAGACGTTTCCCTAACGTTAGTCAGGTACTCATTAGAGCTGAGTTGACTCAGAGACGTCCTAGATATTTTAGTATATGATTCGCACTTGAGGCTTTAGATATAGCAGTCGTAAGCTCTACCATCCGACCAGACCGTTCTATTAATAATGCTTGAGGCGAATCCTGAATATTATCCTTATATTTTGAGATTTTCGCTGGCTAAGCCTCCCTCATTGGGGCGTTCGGTTGGTGATGATGTGGGTAAAAGTCGGCTAAAAATAACATGACGTCTTGTATAAGTATAATATGAACGACCCAAAAGTGATTGGTCGTTTAGAGAAACTCGCTAAGATCGTCGCAGATTTCTCATCGAAGACATTTAAGAACGGCACGCTGCCAACCAAGGGATGTAGAGTGAGGGGGGGGGGGGGGGGGTGTGAATGGGTGAGAGAAGCAGGGAGGTAACAAAGACAATGGCTGGGGCATATCAAGAATGGACTAGATTGTCCCTTGCTTAATAAGTTAAAGCGGGAGAATACTGTAAAGGATGGCAAAGAATTATGCAAAGTTAACTGTTGTGCTCCATCGACCCTCCTGGGGTATCGGGGAAAATAGAAAAACCTAGATAGAATAATTATAGGGTTAATAGCAAAACAGAGGCGTAGCTACCCTTCCCGGCGCCCGGGGACAAACTTTTCGATTTGCACCCCCCCTCGAGATTTCCATTTGCACCCCCCCCCCTCCTCAAACTTTCGATTTGCACCCCCCCCCCCTCGAGATTTCCATTTGCACCCTCCCCCCCTTAAACTTTCGATTTGCACCCCCCTCAACCTTTCAATTTATTTTTCCAACCCATTTTGGCGCCCCCTAAGGTCGGCGCCCGGGGACATATGTCCCCCCCCCCCCCCCGCCCCCCCCCCCCCCCCCCTCGCTACGCTACTGTAGCGAAATAAATCAATTTCAATCATTAAAAATTACACGCAGCTATTAACATGTGTACACGTTTTAATTTGTTAATTTGATACAACTGTTGGGAGGATAATCTTTTAAAGCAATTTTTAGCTTTCGTTAATCTAATTGAAGAAAACATTAAGCAGTATCTACATGTCTCAGCACTGACGGAGAGAGAAAGAGGGGGGAGAGAGAGAGAGAGAGAGGGGGAGAGAGAGAGAGAGAAAAAGAGATATATAGATAGATAGATAGAAAGAGAGAAAGAGAGAGAGAGATAAAAAAAAGGTAAGAAGAAAACAAGTAATGTGGGAAGAAAGATTCGTACTCAGGTAACTGGAGATTAATACAATGATACAGCCAGTACAAAAACGTAATATTTTAATTATCTGGCGGGAGTCACGTGACGCAAGCTCTCTACAGGTTTGTGTGGGCCACGTGGTACGGCGCGTGGTGGCTGGGTGTGAGGTGGTAAATGATAAATGGTTTTTAAACTGGTAATTTGTAAAAGTGGTTTTTAAGTGGGAAATTGTAAAAGTGGTTTTTGAGTGGGAAATTGTAAAAGTAGTTTTTTAAGTGGGAAATTGTAAAAGTGGTTTTTAAGTGGGAAATTGTAAAAGTGGTTTTTGAGTGGGAAATTGTAAAAGTAGTTTTTTTAAGTGGGAAATTGTAAAAGTGGTTTTTAAGTGGGAAATTGTAAAAGTGGTTTTTAAGTGGGAAATTGTAAAAGTGGTTTTTAAGTGGGAAATTGTAAAAGTGGTTTTTATGTGGGAAATTGTAAAAGTGGTTTTTAAGTGGGAAATTGTAAAAGTGGTTTTTTAAGTGGTAAATGTAAGAATATTGTGAGTGTAGGGTATGGCAAGTTGATTAAAAAATAAAAGTGTGGTTTTTTAAAGTGGTAAATGGTAAAGCGTTTGAAGTTTTAAATATAAGAATAGTATGGGGTATGGTTGGTTGATTACAAAATAAAGGGTGTGTTTTTTAAGTGGTTGGCTGTATGATAGAGTGGTGGTAAAAATCCTGATTGCGCCAGTCTTAACTTGGGTTTCTTAAAGTGGTAAATGGGTTGACATTTCCGTTTAGGAAAGGGTGCAAATCTACATCATTAGATTCTATATTCTATGCAAAGATATTTATTCGAAAGGGAGTGTGGTGTTCTTATAGTGGTAAAAATAATTGGATGGATTGGCGTTTGGGGGATTGCTTATATAACAGTCGGCATAATTCGTGAATCTACTCCAATTTACCTGTAACTTAAAAAAAAATTGTAAAAGTTTTTTTCTAATGTAATAAATAACGGAAGGTGTAGATGCGTGTGCGGCAACGTGATCGAGTAGATAGTGGGTTTGGTCGTGTGCCATACACTCAAAGGCATGGGTTCAAATGCCAGCTGATATAAAAAAAATCTGCTATTTTTTATTTATTTTTTTTATTTTTTTTTTAAGGTCACCAAGATCGTTTTTCTAAACAACCGCTCTCTTGGGGAATAAAATTTCTGGTATATGATTATGGTCGTATGTTTAGGTTTAAAGTAGAACTAGATGTTGTGGCCGAGATCTTCGCATACTTTATTAAATGAAACAAAGTGCTGTTATATATATATATATATATATATATATATATATATATATATATATATATATATATATATATATATATATATATATATATATATATATATATATATATATGTGTGTATGTATGTGTGTGTGTGCGAGTGTGCGTGTGTGTGCAGAGCCGTTGCCAGGTTATTTAGCGCCCTAGGCAAAACGCCCCCTTTCACGCGAATTAATGATTAAAACATATGTATAAGAAAACACTTAATTAAAAGTGACATATTAATTTCTTATCAATTGCATACACGTTATAAGCAGACATCAAAATCAAATTTTACTTGTCTCCTTCGTGTCAAAAGTTTCTACTAACTCCTTCAATTCCAGTTTGCAAACGTAATCACATTTTATTGAAATTGTTGCTAACCCCTCCCCCCTCCCGGGAGAAAAAAGTCTGGAAAAAAACACAAAAAAAGTTCTTGTAGTGTTCGACTCTGCAGTCCTTCCAAGATGTGTTCCAAAACGGAACATACCTGTTTTAAGCTTGACTGTCTTTAGTTATAACTGTAAAATTTCTATATGGTGTGATTATGTAACTATTTTTTTTTGTTTTTGAAAATTAAAAGGTTATAAATGTTATAGATTCCAACCTAAAATTGTTATATATGAATCCTTTAGGAGAGGGTGAAAAATATGAAAGGACAATTAATTAGATGTTTAATTTACGACTAAGACTGTATGTCTACTAACATTAAGTATTGCATTCTACAATGGCTACTGATGTATTTGTTTTTTCAACTTGATAATGCTAAAAAACCTACCAAACTATTTTGTTTAGAAATTAAGCTCT